AAATATATAGATGTGTTATTTCGTTCTAACTGTATGGTGATATTAATATATATTTATATCAAAATACATGTAGAATGAAATATATATCTATATACATAAGTATATATATATATACAAATATTTTTTAAAATTACATATATACACACACATATATTAATTCTACATATATATTTATGTAGTATTTTTACATAATTAGGTATTTTAATTAATTACAATTAGCAGGACCTGCCTGACAACCCATGCCGAAAGTAAAGGGAATTTAATATGCTAGCACTATATTTAACCCTATAACTTTCCAAGACACCATAAAGCCTGTACATGGGGGACTTCGCTGAACACAAATATTAGTGTTTCTAAACAGTAAAATGTATTACAACGATGATATCGCCAGTAAAAGTAAAAATTTTTGCATTTTTCACACACAAACAGCACTTACACGGACGATATTATTGCTGTGATACTTTTTACTGTTTTGAAACACAAATATTTGTGTTCAGCAAAGTCTCCCGAGTACAACAGTACCCCTTATGTACAGGCTTTATGGTGTTTTAAAAAGTTACAGCATCAAATATGAGGCTTGTGCTTAATTTTTTTCACATTGAAATTCGACAGATTGGTTACGTTGCCTTTGAGACCCTATGGTAGCCCAAGAATGAAAATTACCCCTATGATGGCATACCATTTGCAATAGTAGACAAAAAAAGACTGAACATACCCCATTTGCAATACCTTGGGTTGTCTACTATTGCAAATGGTATGCCGTTATGGATGTAAATTTAATTCCTGGGCTACTATACAGTCTCAAAGGCAACGTAACCAATCTGACGAATTTCAATTTCAAATGTAATGTGCTATATTTGACCCTGTAACTTCCCAAAACACCATAAAACCTGTACATAGGGGGTACTGTTTTACACGTGAGACTTTGCTGAATACAACTATTTGTATTTTATTGCAGTAAAAGCAAACAGTATTATGACATTGACAGTTAAAATGTCATATAGAACTAAAATAATAACAAAACTTCTTATTTTCTCCCATTTGTTTCATATTAAATTATGTTTCATAGCTAAATATTTGATATTAAATGAAAGCCCTGTTTCCCCTGAATAAAATGATATATAATAAGGGTGGGTGCATTTACTATGAAAGAGGTGAATTACGGTTGGACAGACATGTAGCGCAAATGCCAGGTTTTGTTTACGTTTTGTTTTGTGCACAACATGTACATTTGGCTCAGTCCGTAAGGGGTTAAAATAGCAATTGTTTACCACTTTTGGGTGATCACATGCTGTGTTTACAGAACTTATTAATACATACGTATTATGGGGATAACCTAAAGCTTTAGATACCTACTCACAATTACAATCAGCCTTCTCAAATACAGCCACCATACATAATCACATCCAGCCAACTACACCTACATCCCGCGCACATCACTCATCAAAACTCGAAGCCCAAAACACACATGTCATGATATCACACTCAAAACACAGAGGAGGTCTGTAATACATTCAAGTACTCTGCGTATCACTGCACATACAAAAACCACTTCACTAAGGGGGACCCACGAGGCAATGGAAATAATTTTCACCTTTTCTAAGGGGGCTGAGGGGGCAAGCCACCTAAATGGTGGGTTTAACACTAAAGGTTCAGGTGGGTTTAACACTAAAGGTTAAATGGTGGGTTTAACACTAAAGGTTCAGGAATACAGGATTGTGTTCCTGACCCTATAGTGTTCCTTTAAGTTTTATCTCAAATACATAGACAAAAAAATAAGTTACCTGTGTACTATCCCAAATCACTATACACATTTAATTAACTGGAGGTTTTTAGTATCACTCCAATGGCCGTTAAAGTGTATGCTCACCTGCCATGTCAAGGCAAAACCTCTTAAGTGAGTCCTACACTCACAACAATTCACATTGCCTCTTTGAGCTAAGGCAAAAAGAAGGCTATTAAAGAGAGGGTATTTTTCTAAACCCCAACACATTTCTTAAACCTTAATATGGAACACATGGGGTGGGCTGCAGCAAATATAAACATACAAAATTAAGCCTTACGCTCAAACTCCCACTACTACACATCAGCCCCAATACAAAAAACAGTTTTATCTGCCATTTGAGCATGATACAACATTTATATATTTATACAAAAAGGCAGCCTAAATATATATATATATATATATATATATATATAATGTATGTGTATGTGAGAGTTATAAATGCTGCTGCTGCACTATTTCCATTTCCACTGAAACTGAAGTATCTGAGGCCCATGCAGTAAGTAACATAAGCCTTTATAATCCCTCACAGTGCAAACAATGAGGGGCCACAAGGGGGAGAGTAGGGAGATAAGGGGGAGAGCAGGCCAGGCTGGGCTAAACCAGTCTATATCAAACTGTGCCCAGGCCAAATTACTGTCCTAGTGGTTATGGTACATGGATTCTTTATCAACAGTTTCTGAGCGATGTAATAAAAATCAGGGCTCTCTCGGCCTTGACGTGTCAGGTGAGCTTACACTTAAACTGCCATTGGAATGATACTAAAAAAATGCCAGTTATTTAAATGTGCATAGGGATTTGAGATAGTGCGCAAGTAACTTTTTCCTTTGGTTTTTATAGTGTCTGTAGTGTATAGATGATGCAGTGTGAGTAGGGAGTGTATGTTTAAGGAATTGTAGTGTGTGTTTGCATACAGGGAATCTAGTGTGTGCATTGGGGATCCAGAGTGTGTTTGTTAGGGGTGCAGTATGTGTAAAGGGGGTGAGGTGTGCGTGTGAATGTGGGAGGGGTGCAGTGTGTGTGTGTGTGTGTGTGAGGGGTGAAGTTAGAGTATGTGAGGGGTGCAATGTGTGTTAGGGGTGCAATGTGTATGCAAGGTTTGCAGCGTGTTTTAGGGGTGCAGTGTGTATGTGGGGGTGCAATGTTTAAAAAAGTGCTAGGAGGTACAAGGCCTCTTTTGTGTGTGGGAGGTGAAATGTGAGCAAATATGTATTTTTTAAATTTAATTTAAACAATGAATAATAATGACCATTATATTCCCCCTCCATTCTTACCTTTGGGAGACATTGGAAACCCTAGTGGTAAAGTGGTACTAAGTGACTCTAGCCTACAGCTCCTACATATAGAGTTCACTCCTCTCGCGAGATCCGGCAGTCTTGAGCTCGCAACAGAAGCATTGGTTCTCCTTCCCTCTCCTCTGCCAGGAGGCAGTAAGGGAGATCTTTGATCTTCCCACCAGCCTGTGAAGGCACACAACAAGGCCGGTGCTTGGATAGTGCTTGGGCTGGCAGGAGAGATACTCTGATACTCTGACAGTGTTATTCACCCCAAATTTTCCCAACTTAAATTTTCATGTGGCTTATTATCTAACTAATAGGAGGTTATCTGACAACTGATAAGCAACCATTGGCCCCAGCACTGCAAGGGGATGATAGAAGTACATTACAGAGGAAAGGCACTGGTCACATCTCTGGGCATCAGGTGAGTGATTATTATTCATTTTCCAGGTGACTTACTAATAACTGTTCATAAAAGGAAAATGTCACTTTGCCCGTAAATGTAACTCCCTTTTGCACAGATGATTCCTAATCACATTTATTATAGTTTAAAGACACATTACTGTGAGTTTTAGTGCTGTGGAGCTCTGTTATACACTCAGGCACACCAATAATATGGAGATCCTAGAAAATTGGGCTAATTGGATAGAAAAGATGGACGGAAGGATTGTGGTCCACAATATTCACTGTTCCTCCATAATTTGGCACTATTAAAAAAATCTCAACTATTAAAAAAATAAATCCGCTATTTCTAAATGTCCAGGTCCAATACTTTATATAGGATCCAAACGCAAAAACATCTGCTTTCAAAGCTGACACTGAATGCGTGCTGCTAGATATTGCTGATTTTTCACAATGAATCCATTAATTTTGACCAAATTTTGTTCTTCCTGACAAAATGTGTTTAGCAAAAATCCTTATATTGTAAAGGTTTTGGTGCTTATAGTGTCTCTTTAAGACTAATGGGGGATCCCTTTGCTGGCATTCCTGGGGATGGTGGGTGTATTTATAACCTTTAAATAGCCATATTCTGCATTGATCACTTAAACCAACTCGTAGTGAAACACATATCCAAGAAACAACAAAAGGATAACTTTTATACGGCGAGTGCAAAAACAGATCCCCTACTCACATAAGATCTTAGCACAACTATAGCCGTGACCAACATACCCACCAAACTTGTGATTTCCGAAATCTTATATACAAATGCTATACCAATACAATGTTACTTAAAGGACCACTATAGTGCCAGGAAAACATACTCGTTTTCCTGGCACTATAGTGCACTGAGGGTGCCCCCACCCTCAGGGACCCCCTCCCGCCGGGCTTTGGGGAGAGGAAGGGGTTAAACTTACTTCTTTCTCCAGCGCCGGGCGGGGAGCTCTCCTCCTCCTCTCCTCTTCGGCTGAATGCGCCGAATTCACAATGCTTTTCTATGGACGCTGGCGTCTTCTCACTGTGATTTTCACAGTGAGAAACGCGAAAGCCCTCTAGCTGAGACAGCCACTAGAGGCTGGATAAACCCTAACATAAACATAGCAGTTTCTATGTTTATAGAAAAAAGGGTTAACCCTAGATGGACCAGGCACCCAGACCACCTCATTAAGCTGAAGTGGTCTGGGTGCCTATAGTGGTCCTTTAACTGCAAAAGTTCCAAACATATTGCAATGTTTTGTACACGCGTATTGTCACATAAATCATTGTGAATTGTATTCTCATATTTTGCACCCTTCGCTAAAAATAGCAAAAAGTACAGAATTTAATTTTTTTTTTTTTAAAAAAAAGCATATTCCAGCATGCAGGGGAATTTCCAGTATTGACGCTGCCAGTGAGATCATTTGATAACTAGTAGCAGGAATTCGGTGCTGTGAGGATGCAGAGTGCAATGGTTGGAATGCACTTCCAGTGTCCGCCACCCGGGGGAGGAGGTGTTCTAATCACTTCCCCATACTGACTCTGCAGATCCTCCCCCTGATACCGGACTGGGGGCCGCCTGGACCGAGCTCTGAGCTGCTGTGTGTTCTATTCTGGATCGTTCAATATGGGGACTCACACCGGAGATATGGAGCTCAATGGGGTCGGGGAGACCGCTAATCTTCAAGGGGAGGTTAGTGTGTGCACAGAGGGGATGTGCGAATTGCATCCCTTCTACTGCTTTTAGTAGATGTGTTCTGATTTTGGCCAGAGGATGTACCCCGATATTTTAGGGGTCATTGCATGGTGGGGGTGGGGAGCAGGTGCTGCTCTCCAGCCTGTTGGGGGGTTGACAGTCTATGTCACTGTGCTGGGGGCAGAAATGAGCTATCACTATGATATATATATATATATATATAGTGCAGCTATGTATACAAAGTGTCCCTCTCTAGCATTACAACATTGTATATAATGCTCTGTACACCTCTTATAGTTAATGTATATATTTGTCCATGTCTATAATATGAGTCTGTGTACTGAATACTTGGTACATACAGTTCATGAGTGCAGTGTATATCTATGTACTGTGTAGTAGGATATATCAGTGTTGGGGACATTCATTACATGTGTATTGTACTTATAGGACGTTTGTTAATAGTGACATGCTGTGTATATGTCTGTGTATGGTTAAGCATATTTTATGTATGATATGCATTTTTTTATTTGTGTATTATTTGTGCACTCTTTACACTTATATATTATATCTATATTCTTTATAATTCCGTTATTATGCATGTGTTATAATGCATGTGTGTCTAAAAGATTATTTACTAAAGTGAGAATTGTTGGAGAATTTTTCCAGCTTGTCGCTTCTGACCGTGAATGTGAAATTAATTGAATTCACTACACATTTCCAAGTCATCTATGCTTCCTGTTTGGTTATTTTGGACTTTATTTTAAAATTCACTTGAATTCCAGAAATTCGCACATTAGTAATAACCTTGCTAGACCCCAGGACACACATTGCATCAGTAAACTATGTGTCTTTACAAAGTATAAGTCCGTGGTACCTATTAGCTCAGTGATTTGTTGGTTTAAATTGGCACAGTCACTATTAGGTCATTCAAAAAGATAAAAAAAAAAAAAAGATATGAGAGGAGATATTAGACAAAAGTAGGGGTTTCTTTGTCATATCAATGCTGTGAAGAACGTAGCATTTTTAAGATATCATATCAATGCTGTCATTTGTAAGAAACCTTTGCCAGTCACATCTGTGGGTGAAGGCACCTTTACATGCCATCATTTTATTGGAGGATCCCGCAGTCTCTGACAGACCTCTGTTTCGTACATAAATTACTTGAGCTCCTTTATTTGGTTGTGTCGCTATACACCTGATCAGAGTCCTAGCAAATAAACTATAGCCTCTTTCAGAATTTCAGAATATTATTTCCCATAGCATCTAATTTCTGCGCATTCTCGGTAGACACTACTATTATACGGTCATATGGCGTCCTTCATTGACACCCCATGACCATACCTCACACAGCTACGGAGGAAGGACTGGATATAGAAGTGAGTACTGGAGGGAGAGTGAACTTGACTTAGGCTCTGCCCTTTTTGAAGATTGTCAAGTGTAAGGAAATTACAGAAAACAAAATAGCCCATACTTTGTCTTATGTTTTTAAAGATAAATTGATCCCCAATAAAAAATGAACAGATTCTGAAAGAGGTTGAGAAGAGGAAAGGATTAGAGAAAGGTACGTTTGAGGTGGAAGAGCTGCTTTAAGTGTGCTATTGTAGTTATGGTGCCAGGAGTGCCCTGGCACTACCTCCCCCCTTTCCCTATTTTAAGTAGTCATACCATTTTTAAATGGTTTGACTTCTAACCTGAGGTCCACTGGGCGCCACTCTCCATTACTAATGCTGGAAGCTCCTATGCATTAATTTTAACTTTCCTAAACTAAGCCTTGCAGTCAGTTGACTCTCGGTCAGTTAGCTAGCGCTGCAGGATTTAGCTCAGGAGAGCTAACACATCTTCCTGAGTAGAAGTGGAGGCAGGGAGTGGTGACAAATGGGCCACAGGTAAGAAGTTAAACCTTTTGAAAATAGAGGCACTTTTCTCGAATGTCAGTGGTTATGGTGCTTGGAGTGATCCTTTAAGACAGACCCCAGGGAAAATATATTTGGCCACGAGAAAGCGTTCTCTTCTCCCCTCGGCCACAAAGTAGAAGTGAGGATGTCAGCTTGGGGTCTTTGCAATATATGCAAATACCCAAAATGTGACAATACCACTTTAATTGTCATATACTAAAAAGGTATTTGGTCCAAATGTGTTCATCTGAATTAGTATTGTTTATGTATTGTAATGTTAATATATCTGTGTTAATTTTACTTCTCACACTACACCAGAGCCCAGCCAAGCTGGGGATTTCCTTGTCTGGGCCTGAATTTAATCTGCTTTGTAAAACATGCTGAGAGAGCAGCAGGCCAAACATTGTGGACTCTTTTATAAGTAACATGGATTAGCTAGTAATTAGTAATATGAATAAGTCACTTATCTGATCAAAACTCCCACTTTCCTAGAACACAACATATTCATGAAAGTAATTTATTTATAATTGAACGGAAACCTGAAAATTGCTTACAGTGATGGAGAGTTATGAAGCAAAACCCGTGCACGTATTAGCCCAATAGAGCAATCATATCTTTTTGGATAAATGTGTCATCTTTAAGGGCTTCTCCCCTTTAAACAAAGCAGAATTCAACCTGGACTGAATGTGTATTTTTTATTGCATATACTTGTGCAGAGCATTTGTGTCCTTGTATGGTAAAAATTAGACTATCTGATTGAAAAAGAGGAGCTTCGCTTGGCTCTTTTGGAGCATTTTAATCCTGCAATTTAAACTTTGCCAGTCCTGCAGAATGGCAGTGTATTAAATTGCAGGGTTAAGACAACATGGGCATGGCACTCACAACATTTGGGTCTGGGTGCCTATAGTGTCACTTTAAGAACACTTGAAAAATAAGGAACCTCTATTACCAGTATATGAGAACAGGCAACCCCCCCAAAACCAATGAAAAAACTATTAAATCATTAACATAAAACCAAGAACATTAATTTTTCTCCATTAAAGTGATTCTCTAGTGCCAGGAAAACAAACCCGTTTTCCTGGCACTGTAGAATCCTGGAGTGCCCCCCTCCCTCTCGCCCCCCATCCGACATCGCTAAAGGGGTTAAAACCCCTTCAGTCACTTACCTGAATCCAGTACCCATGTCCCTCGGCGCTGGTCAGGCTCCGCCCATGCTCCTTCCCCACCGACGTCCGGCGGCATGGGAGACCTAATGCACATGCACGGCATTGGCCACGCACGTGCATTAGACCTCCCCAAAGGAAAACATTCAATGCTTTCCTAAGGAGGTCCCCATGCATAGCGTGCAGGGCCGGATTAACATAGGAGCTGATGGAGCTGCAGCTCCAGGCCCAGGCCCATGCTATAGGCCCATTTTACACACTACTCTTGGGTTTGCCACCTGACTGGTATTTTACCAGCACAGCCGGTATTTGGGGCTGCCTGGCCATGCCGGTATTTTTCTCAGTATAAATGGAGATTACTCTGCAATACCAACACCAGCCAGTAGGGGTCACTGTGTGTGGAGAGAGGCAGGGATAGGAAGTTACAGCATATTCAGACAGCAGCTCCCAGTCTGCAGACAGACAACAGCTCAGGGAAGTGAAGGATGGAGGGGAAACGCAGCAGGGAAACATGGGGACACTGAGACACTAGGGGACACTGAGACACTTGGGGACACTGTGAGACATAGGGACATTGGGAAACACTAGGGACACCGTGTCTCCATGTCTCCCAGTGTCCCCATGTCTCCCAGCTAATGTCCCTAGTGTCTCAGTGTCCCCACGGCTCCCAGTGTCCCTTAGTCTCCCAGTTTCTGTGTCCCCATGTTTCTCAGTGTCCCTAGAGTATCATTGTCCCCATGTATCCCAGTGTCCCCAAATATCTGTCTCCCAGTGTCCACGTGTCTCCCAGCCAGTGTCCCTAGTGTCTCAGTGTCCCCATGTCTCCCAGTGTCCCTATATCTCCCAGCCAGTGTCCCTAGTGTCTCAGTGTCCCCATGTCCCCCAGTGTCCCAAAATGTTTCAGTGTCCCCATGTCTCCCAGCCAATGTCCCTAGTGTCTCAGTGTCTCCACGGCACTCAGTGTCCCCTAGTCTCCCAGTGTATGTGTCCCCATGTCTCTAAGTGTCCCCATGTCTTCCAGTGTCCCCAAATATCTTTCTCCCAGTGTCCATATGTCTCCCAGTGTGTGTATCCACAAGTGCCCCCATGTCTCCCAGTGTCCCCAAGTGTCTCAGTGTCCCTATGCCTCACTGTGTGCACATGTCTCACTGTGTCCACATGTCTCTCAGTGTCCCCTAGTATCCTAGTGACAAGGGAAACACTGAGACATGGGGACAGAGGACACTGAGACACTGGTAGACTAGGGGACTGGGCGTCCAATTCTTTGGACAGACATGCCCCCTTTTTGGGCATGTTCGCCCCTTTTGGTAGTTCTGGTCACGTGATTCGCGTCAGTGGCCCACCCTTTTACCTCGTCCATTGACTTCCTGCTTCACTGGACACTGCTGTTAGTGAGTTTACTTGAAAGATGAAATCATACATTAGAGAGAGATTAACATAGAGTATGTGTTTTCTTATAGCTGCATCCTTTGAGTTTCCCTCCAACACCATCTCCATCAGATACATGACGCTTGGGAGGTATGACTGTTTTAGTGTTTTTGGTCGATAAGATTCTGTAATTAGGCCCCATCATAATTGTCAGCACCAGGCCCACTGGGCTCTTAATCTGGCCCTGGTAGTGTGAGGACGTCCAGTGTCGTTTAGACGACCAAAAGTCGATGGGCTGAAGTGGTCTGGATGCCTTCAGTGTCCCTTTATTCCCTTTACTGACTCATACTTCCGAATCGAGATAAGGCACTCATTTCTATTGAACAGACACATCAGACTTGTAAATCACTCCATCACGTCATATGTTAAATATGGAGATTCAGTGCCAATGTCTGGTCAAAATGTCTTATTTTTTTCACTAACCAGTGCATTGATCTGAACTGACAAGCAGATCGCAAGAATTGCCAGGGTTTGCAGTTTGTATCGCAATTAGCCTCACTTCACTGTTTAGTAAATAACCCTTTTTCTGCTAAGTAAAGGAAAATATCTAGTTGGATGAAACATCTCCTTACATAACATTTTTTGCATCTGTTTAACCAATTAAAGAGCATCACCTTAAGTATAGCTATAGGTCTTGAAAGAAGGTCAAACACCTTGTTTTTTTTTTTTTAAATTGCAGGGGTAAAGATAGAAGTTAGTAATGAGTTTATTTTTGAAGTTGGAAGGAGGTGCCTTCAAGTGAAAAAGATAAAGTTTTATATATATATATTCTCTAAGACAGCAGTCAGAGTCACCCCATGGCACATAAGTCAGCAGAACTCTGCAGACAACAATAACTCTTGTTCTATAAAACACTCAAGACATAAAAAGTAATTACAGTGTGCTGTAAAGGCTATGGTGTCAGGAGCACCATGGGGTACCTCAATGTAAGTGGTTAAACCACTGAGGTTTGCAGGACACCAGTAACAAACTCCTACTTGTGGTGCAGGGCTTAGCTCATGCCTGTGGCTTGGCTGGTGCTGGGTTTATCTGGCCATGCATGACAGTTCTTGGCTTATACTGGTGGTGCAGATCTTAGCTCATGGTCAGGGCTCAGCTAGCCATATGTGACATTTCTTAAAGGGACAGTATAGTCACCAACGCAACTTTAGCTTAATGAAGTAGTTTTGGTGTATAGATCATGGCCATGCAGTGTCATTGCTTAATGTCTCTGCCATTTAGGAGTTAAATCACTTTGTTCATGCAGCCCTAGTCACACCTCCCTGCATGAAGAAGAAAAGGAAAGTAACCGTGCCCAAAGATTATGTACAGAACTTAATACGTACACAGGTCTTTGGAAATTATACAAGTACTGGACCTCAAATAAAACAGAAGAAACAATAATAGTGCAATACAGTATGTACAGTAAGCGCGTGATGTGTGATCTTGTGTGATTACACTCACATTTAATTGATCTATCTCAGAGCTCAGGTGTTTCAGCGCATGGACGGAACAATCCCCGTCTAAGGATATAAGTTGGTATAGGCAGATCTCAGTGCATGTCACTTACACAGCCTTCCTACACACTTCCTGTAAAGAGTCATCTAATATTTACACTTCCTTTATTGCAAATTCTATTTAATTTTGAATTTCTTATCCCCTGCTATGTTAATAGCTTGCTAGACCCTGCAGGAGCCTCCTGTGCTTGATTAATGTTAAATTTACACAAAACAAAGGGATTAGGTGCTCACTATAGTGATATATACAGTGAAAGTGGGCGGCAGTGACCAACACAAGGATTCCCAACCTTGTAATAGAACAATTGTGAACAAGAAAACAAAAGGAAACCGTGCCCTTACTATGGTACAAATATACGTACTCAAGTCCTTATGATCGTGATTTTTTCACAATTAACCTCAAAGAGAAAATACACAGAGTAATAGTGTAGTACTGTAAATACTTCAAGTGATAAGGAACAAATAGATAAATGCACATTCACATTTTACCAGAGCTACTACAGAGCTCTACTGTTGTTGCGCCTAGATGGAATTATCCCCGTCTCTGGATTAGTTTGAAGTGGTCAACGTCTTGGTGGTCTCAAACAAATAACATATGGAGAAACATAGAAATCCTCATAGTGTAGTATGTAGTAATACCTTAAGGATAATAAATGAATATAAAGTAGCGTACTCACATGTACTAGAGCGTGCCTCGCTCTAGTTAGTAAAGCATAGGTGGTATAATCCCCACCACAGCAGCATATAAAAACTTTGAAAGTAAGTTACAGCCAGTTGAAAGTGTGTCTAGGGTTGCATAAACAGAAACAGAAGTGATTTAACTCCTGAATGGCAGTGAATTGAGCAGTAAAATTTCAAGGGCATTATCTAAAACCGCTTCAATAAGCTAAAGTTGTTTTGGCGACTATAATGTCCCTTAACTACATTACATTATTTAGAAATCAGTATGTCTAAATAAGTACATTTTAGTTGCATATATAATTGTTAGTAAGTCACCTAAAATTTCTCAGAACAGCTTACCCCTGTCCACACCCCATTAACTACCCTAAAATTAAAGTGACCCTCTTTTACTTTTGAACTGTTGGGAGACATGCTAAAACCTGCCATAAAGCGAGACAGAGAATCAACTGCAGAGCAACATAGGCTTTTTACAAAGCAAAGATTTACAGTAGTAGATAATGTCCAAATAACAGTAAGTGTTGTCGGTTAACATTCTCATTAAAAAAATAAAAACATTTTATAAGTAACAGTTGGAGCATTTAGTAAAATTTTACTGAAATCTGTCCCAGGCAAAATGCAGCAAAAATGTCCAGCATTTCCAGTTTTGGCTTTAGTTGAGCTTGTGGATGTGTTTAAATAGATACTTTAAGATGTCCTTGGAATAAGTGGAAAGTTTGATGATTTCTGTTGAGTTCACGCAGGGTAGCTGTGGTCTAGATGGGCGTGCAGGTTTCCAAGAGGAAGTGGGAGAAGGGTGACACTTTTGCAATTCCGACGAAAGATAAACATTTAAGCTGGTGGAAAAAATTGGATATACTGATGGGAAAAGTTGTTACACAGTAGCTGTAAAATATATTTGTGTGGTGTGCCACACTACAAGAACTCCATTAAATACATGTGCTTTTCAAGAATTTTTTTTTTTTTTCTCCCTTGAAATATTATTCTTTTGTCCCATTGAATACAATTTTGAAATGTATATTTGCAACTGAAATTTTGCATTGTGAATAATGTGTTAAAGAACATTAAGAATACAAATATTTATTTGTAACATTAGAGTGCTCATTTTTTACTTTAGATTCAGGGTCCCCATGGTTAAAATAAAAAAATATATATTTCTAAATATACTCTTATTCCAGTTTGGGACAAGCTCCTGCCACACAGAGATCGGCAGGATTAATAGGAAGCATTAGCTGCCTTCAGCACAGTCATTCTGTGTGTGTGATGCCAAAAGTGAAAGACAGGCACTGGAGGTTCTAACAGCCACACACGTGTATTCTTGGACCATTGTGAACATTGCTGTTTTGCAGAAACAGCTATGTTTTACACTGTCCAATAAAATGGACAGTATCTATACACCAAAACTACTACATGAAGAGTTATTTGTTTTGGTGCTTAGGGTTCCTTCAAAACCCCATAGCAGAATTTGTCTTTCATAATATATGAAATCATTACAAATACTCTACTACCTATTTATATTTAGTATTAAAGGAATACTGTAGACATTAAAGCAACGTAATCTTATTGAAGTTGTTATAGTGCCTTAAATATCCCCATCTCTGTTCCTATCCTCCAATTCCGTCTAGTGCATCAGCTTGAAGGCTTGAAAGCGCAGCTTAAAGCCATGCCTTGGAGAGCCGGGGACAGTAACTTCCTGGCTCTCATACTTATTAATACTGTTATGTTGATGCTTAGAAGCCCCAAACCATTGTTAATTCAGCTCACCTTCACTCATTGTCAATAAGCTCACCTCTTGTGAACACACACAATGCTTACATGCGCAGTGACGCTTTCATTACTTCTCATAGCTGATTATTGCTTTCAATGATTCACTATAAATTGGTTTTCATTGGTGCATTGTGGCAAGAGCTTCGTATGTGCACTAGGGACTGCAATGCTTCTTAATGAGATGCATTTGATTGGACCAATGTCATGTGACTTCATGACATCACAAGGGGCAGTGTAAATAGATGTACCAATTGAAACCTTTTTTAAGTTGGAAAGATGCTGCAAAGCTCCTGGAATATAAAATAGATCAAAAGTATTTTAAGAACTTAACAAACACAGTACGGTGTTCCTTTAAATGTCTACATTCTCAAATATATTTTGACCTGCTGTATGAAATAAAGGGTACCTCATAAGTTAATACTAACTCCCAGGAATATTAAAAGTTCCTGGCATGTTATACAGTATGTTTCTATAGTAAAACTATTCTCCATTCTAATATTACATTTTGGCTCCGTACTCACAGGTTGTTTAAATACCATAATGCCAGGCTTTAAGGACTGCATTTGGCTCTTTTGAGTTTTATTGCGCCTAGCATATAAGCATTATGTTGACTCCCAGTAATAAGCAGTAGATAACAACAGCTCTGTGTAATCAGCATCTAGTAAAAAGAACAAATACGTTCTAGAATAAGTGAGCCCCACTACTCTGCATGTTGGCTAATTACATAACTGCGGTGTATGCGGCTTATGCATATAATGTATAAGGCTGATTGTAAGAGCATTGCATAATGGTTGGCAAATAGCTGGATCTATCTTTGGTTTCCAGCTGGTTCCTTTTTGCCAAGACAAAACACATCTGCGTCACAGGTTGTTGTTAAATATGTACAGGCAAATTCTTTAGGGTGTAATAGAGGCTTAAAGAGACACTCCAGACTCATAAAGCACTTTAGCTTCCAGTGAAGCTATATGTGTGTCTTATTTATTTAATTTAGCAAAAAGTACAGATTTCAATAGAAATTTACACTTTTATAAATTAACCTGGTTACACCCCATTGGCTTTCAAAAAGTCAACATCTCCTGTTACTTTCTGGTTTGGTTACCTCAATGAAGCTACATTTAAGAAGCAGCAATTGCTCATAGCACCTGCCTTGCAAATACTTCTCATTGTACTGCATTGGGAAGTCTGTGATTGGATAGCCACAGAAAGTCTGGGCTGGGTTAGAAGGGGAGGTGGCGTGCAAAGTCAGAACTGCAACAGATACACATATACAAACACTGCTAAACATGCAGATACACAGACACACAAATGGAAATACTGACACATACAGTTGCACAGATACACTGACACACAAACAGACATACAGATATGCACACTGACACACATACAGATGTAGAGACACAAAAATGCAAATATTGCCACACATGCAGATACAGTTACAAACACTAACACACATACAGATAGACAGTTAGAATGACACACACTGACACACATATAGATACACAGACGCAGAGATAAAAACACAGACACACATGCAGATGCACAGACACACGCACAGCTAACAGTTTGCTATCTTAATCTGAAGTTCTCCTTGGGTCACTCTTTGCTTTTCCTCTTCTTGTTTGCAGAGCCAGATGCTCCTGCTGGTGAAACTCGGCCAATGACCTAAATCGTGATCCACTAGGCTTAACTCAGACAGTAGTAGAGGTAGCAAGTAGCATCTGGTGGACCTCAGTTAAGATGTCACACCGGTTTGACTACTTCCATTTAATCAATCCTGGCATACCCATTACATCACATTGGAATAGATATGGTACATGGATTGTTCCTTTAACAGTAGAAAAATGTTTCAAATTTGTATTCACTTTATCACAACTTACCATTTAGTATATAACCCCCTCCATTTACTTTCAGATGAATGCCTTTAACCGTACCCATAGCTCTAGCCAAACATTTTAACTTCCACTTTAAGAAAATGTTTGAGGAAATCATTTTCTTTTTTGGGACTTTCAGGAATGTATTGCGGAAAATGTAAACATTAAACAACCGACAAAGATGTGGATGACTTGCTCACTGTTTAGAGTGTGTTTCTTAAATTGAAAACTGGCAGCAGTGAAGGATTTAAGGATTACCAAGCAGTTACAGGTAAAACCTAAATCACTGCTGGTTATAAGGACTGATTTAAGAACCATCAGAATATTTGGCTACCTTTTTTAAATTTTTTTTTTAGAACACATTTTTGTGCATAGAAAATTTGATTCCAGTACATAAACAATGTGACAGTAGAATTCCGTATATCAATAAGGAAATCTTAAGCAGTTTAGGTGTAGTTCATGGCCCTCAATCTCACTGGTCACATCTCTGCCATTTATGAGTTAAATCACTTTGTTTATGCAAACCTAGCCACTCCTCCCTTGTCTAAAACCAACACCGCTTTCCTACGCACTTCTTGGAAACCAGTTATAATGTTTTAGATACCCTTATTGCACAGTATGTTTAATTTAGAATTTCCTATCTTTTGCTCTGTTAGCCTATGCAACTATGAAAAGGATAGACAACACTATACATATTGAGCCCAAAAACATGGGTTAGAATTTTTTTGACATTCTTTATATTGGTACTGCATGCATCAGACAACAAGCAAGTCATGACATAACTTCTGATACATACTGGTCATAGAAGAATATAGCATGGGTCAAAATTACAGCACTATTTTTAAAGAAAATAATAAACCTAAGAACCACGTATACATGCTAGACAGAGGAAAGGAGACATGGAGGATACAAAAGTATTAAGCGGTTCGCTAGTTATGATTAGAAAGTTATACTGACAATCAATTCAGACAGGAAAACCTATATCACAGGGTTTGCATAAATCAAAAATCATAAAGAAAAGGTTAAATCTGCAGAGTAAGATAAGCATAATAAAAGCCTGCGGCAGTAGGTGAGTCCAGTCAGTGGCACAGTGTATGCATAATGAAAATAGCTGCCACTGGCCCATACAGGAGATCAGCCGATTCCCAAATGTAAGGTGAGTCCCTGACGGTCCCCAAGTAGGCCTCCAGAGTCCCAGGTTCCCACAGCGGTAAATATATCCGGAATCTGCCACTAACTAGCCACTAGGCTTCTGTAAAGTGGAGGTAGGGCAAGGGCATTAACCCTTTGAAACCTCTCTCAGATAACAGTGGTGTTTGCTTTGAAGCGTTGGTAAATCATGTGCTGCTGTAGTAGGTCTAGGTCCTGTTTCTGGGTAAAGTGTCAGCATGGCCTTCTGGGGTAGAAGTGCTCGTTTTATAGACTCTTGTCGGGTTTCGAACATCAGTCAGAAGTTTGAGAATAAGGAGCAAAAGGCTTCAAGAACATCCCATTGACGCTCAGTGGGTGGTGCCTGCCACATGGCCACTGCCAAATCAACCGCATCTGCCATCATGTAGGAGGGCAGGAGTGTCCTCAAGGTTCCTTTGAACCGACTGCCAGAGATTAAAGGTGCCGGGAGTGTTTCTTTAAAGCCCTGAATGGTCATACAGTCCTTTAAGGGTAAATCTAAACCTTAAAGGACTGTATGACCATTCCTATTGCCAAAGACATAGTTTCAACAAATTAATCTGTTCAAAAAGTCCAAGCTTGAAATTACATGGCTATGTATCTATCTGTCGTGTAACATCTCATGAGACAAGAGGTAGCAGAGGAAATTGCAGGTGATGGCAGAGAGAATTTATAGTGTGACTGCAGTGATTAATACCATGTGAAGGGAGGAGATGATTGACTGTGGTTGGAAACAGCTGAATGAGTCAAGGTGTATATATGTTTGGTGTCAATTATGCCTAGATCAAGCATGTCAAACTCAGTCTAGCACAGACCAAATAAACAAGGTTTAAGTTTAAAAAAAAAAACCTTACATTTTCATAGAAACGTAGGTTTATTTTTAAAAGTACCGTATAAAAAAACAGCGCACCCCTCTACTAAACCACAGCACCCCCTCTACTAAATTCAAGTCCCCCTCATATACTAAATCCCAGTCCCCCCAGCATATACTTAATCCCATATACTAAATCCCAGTTCTCCCCATATACTAAATCCCAGCCCTCCCCCTATACTAAATCCCAGCACCCCCCTCTAGCCAACAAGCAGGCTCCACTGACATTGCCAGTATGCGACTTTGGAGTCTGGCCTCTGGTATACCCTAAAAGGCTCCGTCTGCACCCTGTGTCAAAGCAGACCCTCCCGCTACTTCTTGAAACCCTGTGAAGCTGGAGCACGTCAACGTCACATCGAAATGTGATGTGGCGTTGAGTGCCTCCGTGCACCTCCAGGTACTCCACTGTCTAACAGTGGCCATCGCAACACTGACCGACACAGAAACACTCACTGACACACACACACACACTCACTGACAGACACACACATTTACACATTCTTGCACACATTCACATCAGTTTATTGCTCCCTAGCTTTGGGAGCTGGTGTGCAGCGTCTCCCTGGAGATCCCTATCTCCCTATCTGGAGATCTCCTTACTGCCCCCTCGCGTGCAGTTTAGTGATGCTGGGTGCCAGAATATGACATCGTATTCCTGCACCTGGCATCACTACAGACGGCACGTGCGAGGGAGCAATGAGGAGCAGGAAAACCTCTCCTCCCTTGCCGGGTAAATTTTTAGCAGAGTAGGCACCTGCAATGTGGAGAAAGCAGTGTTAACACTAAGCATGTACTCGCTGTTCGCCGGGCCGCAAAGATGTTCATTGCGGGCCGCGAGTTTGACATGCTTGGCCTAGATGAATACCTTATGGTTTCTACTTTATGAAAAATTCAATGATAGTTATACTTGGTCTCTGTAACTGCTTTTAAACTTAGAGGTAAAAGGAATCAAACAGTATTCAATTTGTCAACTAATATTTTTTGTCAAAAATAGTGGACAAACATTTTGGAGATTTAATTGACTAAAACTAGACTAAAACTAAATGGAGAGACACCTAGAGGGGCTGGGGGGACACAGAGGGGCAGCGGGAAGTGTCAGAAGAGACAGACCAGTGCTTTTGAGAGAGACACCTGGGGCGGCACAAAGATACAGAGTGGCTTGGAAAGGGGCAAAAGATACAAATAGAGGCTTTAACTAACCCATTAGATTTTAGTGGTGCTGACTAAAATTTACTGGAGAATTAGTCGACTAAAACTAAAACAATTCAGATGACTAAAAAACAACTAAAATTAACTTGAAATTTGCCGCCAAAATTAACACTGGTACCAAACACCTAGCAGAATGTGGTCTAAATGCACAGTTAACGGTGCTCCAATTTGCTAGGCCTGTCCGATATGTTTGAGTCCATATCATGCTCTCTGTGTACAGGGTTTTTGAGGCAATAATATAGTTTTAAAATTATTTTTATTCTGTGTGTTGCATCCTATGTTTTACTTTATGCTGCTGGAATCTGTGAATCCAATGCTTTCCTTTTCTCCTTTATAAATATAATACTTTTTGACCTTTCTGACAATAACATGTCCGTTTTATGACAACGTGTAACGTTTTACCAAGATATTGCAGTTTCAGTATCTATTCAGAGATGCAGAATGATTTAATGCAGTAGTGGGTAACGCCCGTCTGCATATTACAAAGCCCCAGACTATGTAACCTGAGCAGTTTATGGCAAACTATTTTAGTGTTACCATGGTATTATTTAAACAGCTGCGTACTGCTGGGATAATGCTGGGATTTCCCATTATGTCACTCAGTGTAGGGCTCTCTCTAGGATTCAATTGTAGCACTCCTCAGTAGTTTGGCATCATCCTGCTTCAAAACTCCGAAACACTATTAAATGTGCAGTGTACAGTGATTTGATGGGTTTATTCACTAAACAGATCTGCAGAAAATGTAAAATCAATTTTGAGGTTATACTACAATTGTAGGGGGGTCTTCTTTTTATACATAGCATTTAGTGGCGTCTTACTAAATGAGTTCTTCTACTTTACTGTGAATTTTCTATGGAAGATTCTTGGTTGTGTAATCATATCTGCAAACTGTCCCAGATGCAACTGCACAGTCACAATTTCTGTATACTTCTCAAGTGTCCAGAGGCGTGTCTACTGAAAGTGCTCCCCTTACCTGCAATGTCCAAACATCTGACACCCATTATTTGAGAACTTTGTCATAAAATTAGCTTAAAGGAACACTATAGTCACCTACATTACTTTAGCTAAATAAAGCAGTTTTAGTGTATAGATCATTCCCCTGCAATTTCACTGCTCAATTCACCATCATTTAGGAGTTAAATCACTTTGTTTCTGTTTATACAGCCCTAGCCACACCTCCCCTGGCTATGATTGACAGAGCCTGCATGAAAAAAAAAACTGGTTTCACTTTCAAACAGATGTAATTTACTTTACATAATTGTATCTCAATCTCTAAATTGAAATGTAATCACATACAGGAGGCTCTTGCAGGGACTAGCAAGCTATTAACATAGCAGGGGATAAGAAAATCTTAATTAAAGAGAACTTGCAATAAAGAAAGCCTAAATAGGGCTCTCTTTACAGGAAGTGTTTATGGAAGGCTGTGCAAGTCACATGCAGGGAGGTGTGACTAGGGTTCATAAACAAAGGGATTTAACTCCTAAATGGCAGAGGATTGAGCAGTGAGCATGTACTATACACCAAAACTGCTTCATTAAGCTAAAGTTGTTCATGTGACTATAGCGTCCCTTTAAAAAAGTCAAGCTGTATGTATGTAATGTGTGGTGTGTGCTGGAAGTATGTGATGTATGTATTTGTGTTCTGTGTAGCTCACTTTGTATGTGTGCGGAGAGTGACAGAATGGTAAGGGGCTGTGTTAAAACACGGCCCAAATGCACAGTAATTGGCATTTTTCAATATAACATTTACCCTCCTGCCATTTAGCCACATTGGATTGGCTAAAAATCAGCCATTTCAATTATGTCACAAAGGGGGCGGGACCAACAAAGGTGGACCCGGGCGGCGCTGGAAATAAGGTGAGTTTTAAACTTTTATAGGAGGGTTAAGGGGGGACAAGCCACCTATATGGTGGGTTTAGCACTATAGGGTCAGGAATACATGTTTGTGTTCCTGACCCTATAGTGATAATGCTGCTGTGGAGCTTAAAGGATTACTATAGGTTCAGGAACACAACCACCTTATTTCCAGCGCCACCCAGGTCCACCTGTGTTGGTCCCGCCCCCTTTGTGACATAATTGAAATGGCCGCTTTTTAGCCAATCCAGTGTGGCTAAATGGCAGGAGGGGGTAAATGTTATATTGAAAAATACCAATTACTGTGCATTTGGGCCATGTTTTAGATGTCTGCGATAGTTCGCTGAAATTCCAGGTTCCCCAGAAAGCGTCTAAGCCACTAAGTGTAGGTGGCCTTGTGCCATCATGGGATGATGTTGGCCCCAGGGATCCGAGAGAAGGTCTGGACTAGAAGGTAGGAGGAGTGGATCTTGCCACCATAGGTCCAGGAGATCTGGGAACCAAACTTGGCCCTGCCAGAGAAGAGGACGATAGAGACCTGTTGTCAGCAAATTTGTAAGAGCCCCCTGAAAATCATTGCAAATGGAGGAAAAGCGTAAGCCCCTAGTCTCGGCCAGTCCTGCAGGAAGGTGTCCACTGCTAAGCACTCTGGGTCCGGGAGCCAGCTGAAGAACCGTGGAAGTTGATAGTTCATCCGAGATGCAAAGAGATTCCCTCAACTGTGAGATGTGAAGGAAAATTGACCTGAGAAGTCGCCAGTCGCTGGCATCCCTCCAATGTCTGGAAAACCAGTCTGCTGTAAAATTTGATTCTCCTGGGAGGTATTCGGCCCGCAGAGTATTGTTGCGTTGAAAGCAAAATCTGTAGATGTCCTTTGTCACTCCGGAGAGAGTGCGTGATCTGGCCCCGCCCAGGCAGTTGATGTATTGGACTGCAGAGATATTGTCCATTCAGATGGCCGGCCAGGCTGTGGATAGCGTAGGAGCCTGCTATCAACTCCAGGCAATTGATATGGAAGGTATTCTCCACCGACATCCTTGGGCCGCCCGTGGAGGTGGTCGGGCCTGACTTGCCCCAACCCTGAAGGCTCGCGTCCAACTCCACAATGAAGACTGGAGTGGGGCCGAAGATTGCCTTGCCGTTCAAAGCGGACATGTGGAGGAGCCACCATCAGTTCTTCCTTGACCTCTGAGGTGAATGGAAACATCTGGTTGTAAGAGGAGTGACTTCGTAGAAATTGAGCTTTCAGACACTGCATGGCCCGGTAATGGAGAGATTCTGGTTAGATCGCCTGGATGAAGGCTGAAAGTAGACCTACAATCCGAGTTAACATGTGAAGAGGAACATATTCCTGATGAAGAATTCTGTGTAGTTCCTTCCAGATTGCATATCTTTTTTTTTTTTTTTCGTGCAGAGGTTAAACATGTGGATGTGCACTGCCACAACAGCTGGTGCAACCAGGTTTGGATTCACACTTAATCGGATGGCATAATAGAAAAACATTGCACTTTGCACAGATAAGTAAGCAGGATTATGTCTTAGGTTTCATAAAAACAAAGGGAAGTTGCTTGGTTCACAGATAGGCTTCACCTAGTAGTCACAATGAGAGTAACGGTCAGGCTAGAACAATACATTACGGAATGGAGCATCGTTAAGCCTGGTATGTAGCTTAATGTACTAATGGGAGTTACGTGCTCCAAAAGTGAGTTGTAACACGCTGCCTTCGATCAGTAATGCACGCCAGTTATACCACTAGATTCTGTACTACGGGGTAAAGAACTGCACAACATGCTAAGTCACATCACCCATACAGCAATGTTTGACAAGGGAGCTAAGTAAAATTAAAAGTAAATAAGCAGAAACAAAACATAATATATCCTTTCTTAACAATGAATTAAGGGTCTCTTATCAGGCATGGCTCGTTGCTCTGTATCTCCTATGGATAATAGGGAGCTCCGGTAATAGGTTTGGGGTGTCTGGTCATCTGATCCCCAGCAGCGGCAGATGTGGTATAAGTGTAGGGAAGTCCCAGAAAGAGTCCCGCCCCTTCGCTCAGCATATACCCTCCGGTGTCACTGCCGCTATTTCCTCCAGCCCCAACTTGATGTCATGTTCGTCTGCTTACGTATGTGATGGGATGCTGGTGAGTGATCTGGATGGGACCTGCTGCTTGCGGTTTGTCGGTGTCCTGCCCCCAGTGTACGGGTGCTGCTTGGGTAGGCTTGCCGGCTCATCGTGTATCCTGAGTTGGTCTGTGGCTTGGGGAGGGCCGGTTGTGTCTCTCGCGGCACCGCCGTGGCAGCCTGGTGTAGTCGCATAGTTTTGCTTGTTGGCGGGAATCGGCGCCTGCCGCGCCTTCATTTTTTTGCAAGCTATGTTTGGTGAGGAGCTTTTCTGAGGCAAGTTTGGGACAGCAATACCAGCGGTAAGTTTCCAGCTGGGTTACGAACAGCGGCCTGTCGTTCCTCAAGTTTCCTCCAAAAGGCCTAGAATATTTTGTTCAGTCACTTCAGGGTCTCCGACTCCTATGTAGTTTTGACAGGCCGGGGCTGACGCAGCTGCCACGGTACCTGCAGGCATCCCTCAGGGACCGGGATGACCCCCGCCGGTCCATAGGGGAGGGGGAACAGAGACCCTTGTTCAAAGTTTCTGCCAGTGATGGTGGCGGTGGAGCGGCTGTTTCCCTCGCGCCTATCATGCTGGTAGGCAGCAAGCGGTGTTTCGGTTTATTTCGCGGGGTATGCTGCATATTTGTTATCGGCTTTTTGATCTCGTTCTGACCGCTCCAATGGTGGCCCCTATAGTGCCCTTGGGGTTCGATGGACACTTAATTGGGGTAAAATTGGCCTCCAGGAGTGGGAGCAGCTCTACCTTGCATCCGCTCGGCTCAGCAGTCAGGCCCCGCCCCCAATAGCTGATATCTTTGATTGTGGCAGGCGGATGACACAGGTAGAAGTGTCTATCTCGAAACCTAGGAATTCAGTCACCTGGGTAAGGGAAACTCATGTAAAATAAAGGAGGGAAAAAATATAAAGGGAAAGTATAAGTATTAGAAAAAAGATATACCTCAGAAAATAGAGATAAAATAAGTGAAACAATAAGTGACAGAATAAAAGAAACATCAGAAAATCAAGATAAAATAAAATACAGTAATCCCCACAAAGTGGGACACAGTGGCACTCTGACCTGTGCTGGTGTGAAGCAGCAAAGAAAGAAGAAGAAGCTGATTGTGGGAGGAACTTTTATTGCCTGTGTTCCTTTTTTCTGATTGGTTTATCCTGTTACTTTGTGAAAGTTATGCTGCTGTGGAGCTTAAGGAAAGAAAAAACAAAGTACATTGATGATGGTAGATGTGCCTAAAAAATCCAATAGTGTAAAACTAAAAAAATGAAGGCTCAAACAAAGAAAATGTTGGTGCAATATTGTATATTCGGTTTAGATAGGTGAATAATTGAATGAAATGATAGTCACAAAGATGGAGCCGTCAATAGGCTCAATCACAGCATAATGTGTAGTTTAAGACTACACTCCTATAAGCATGAACCAAATGCCCAGAAGTGTGTGTAAAAATTTTTACTATTTATTAAAGCGTATCTCCCGCAGTATGCCTGCACCAGATCAGTGTGGCCACGCTGTCACAGTGCCCGAATGACATTGCGAGGTGACCTCATCTGATCGGTGTGGTCACACTAAAGGAGGGAGAGGTTACTCACCTTGCATCCAGCACCTCTCCCTCTGCACAGCTCCTGTGACAGTGGCCGGGCCCAGTGTTAGGAAGGACGCCGGCCGCGGCAAGGCAGAGCTATATATTAGCGCCACCCATAATTATATCACTAGTGACGTGAACGTGCAGGCGGCCTCAAGTTCTCGCTGTGCAAGCACCTTCTGGGGTCATGGAACCCAATTTAGCAAATAGGTTTACAGGGTTATATAGAGATAGAGAAAAACCTATCAGGGAGAATGTGTCCGGTTACTCTGAGGTAGGGGGGAATAACCCCAAGGATTAATGAACTAAAGAATAGATAGAAGGAAAAAAAAGGGTGAACCATTTAGTAGATGAACCCTTCTGAAATCCAAGTAACCCAGATAAAAAGTAACATTTAATTTAGTGTAAAGAATTTATGTAATAAAAAAATAAGAATAAGCAGAGTAAATATAGCTTCTGCTTAGATGGGAGTAAATAAAACTCCTTAATCACATAAGGAAAAAATATATAAGAAGAGCCTTAACGGCGAAACGCATGTCGGGACTTTATTTGTATGGTGTGGCTTCTATGATGAGGGAAGACATGCTTTAATATATTCAGACTATACCACCCATACAAGATTTATTATTTTATTATATATATTTATTTATTTCATTTGCACTTTTTCTTCTATTCTTTATTCCAGTTTTCGTTCTGTGATTTCTAAACATCCTGCATTTACTCTAGTTAGAGGAGGAGAGGTGGTTACTAGTATTTAACCCCTTAAGGACCAAACTTCTGGAATAAAAGGGAATCATGACATGTCACACATGTCATGTGTCCTTAAGGGGTTAAGTGGTGCCCTCGAAGGCACAGCAGAGTAGGGAAGCTAGTGTCTCCACTTTTAGTGTCTCCACTTTTAGCTTTCTCTCCTGCCTATATATACCATTTTTTGCAGGGCTTGCCGTTCTACTAGTATTCAAACCACATTTATCTGTTTCCCTCCTCTCTATTTATTAGACTGGCAACATTTCTTACATTTGCTGTTATTCTGTATCTACTTTTTGCAGTATTTCCTCTTACGTCTAACTACCACTGACTCATAGAGTGATATTATTGAATTCTTATTATTTATTTATTCCTGTTATTTCTTTATGTTATCCAAATAATAGGGTTGTATTTCTTTATTACTTTATTTATTTTTTCCTTATGTGATTTAGGAGTTTAATTTACTCCCATCTAAGCAGAAGCTATATTTACTCTGCTTATTCTTATTTTTTATTACATCAATTTTTTTCACTATATTAAGTAAAAGTTACGTGTGTGACATGTCATGATTCCCTTTTATTCCAGAAGTTTGGTCCTTAAGGGGTTAAACCCAAACCTGCAGGTGTTCAGTGCCGTGTCGTGGTTTCCATCCCGTTGGTTATCCAAGAGCGCGTCCATGTTTATTGTATCTTTGGTTTTTTATCTTGGCTTGACTTCCCGTATTTCTGGTGTCCCTGATCCTTTGGCTCTGTTCTTACCGTATTTGTTCCTTTCTGTATTCCTGATCTCGGCTCATTACTGGTTATTCTTATACGTTAAATTCGGCCATTCTAAGGCCTGGTAATACATTGTTACTGTTTGTTATTTTTCCGTGTTTGACTTCATTCTGCATGTTGGGCCACTGGTTCATCCTGACATGGTGCTGGCTAACATTTTTTTGCAGGGCTGCATTGTATCCCCAGTCCAGCCTTGCAAAAAAGGGGACAGCATGGATGTCATTACAATTATGCCCCCCTCCTCCTGAAAAAATTCCTGCAGCCCATGAGCCTATAGCGCTCCAACATTTGAGTAGGATGGGTCTCTATACCACACATATAATTCCTTGAAGTTCATCCCTGACTAACGATCATGTCTAACACTTTGTGTTAAACTACAGAGTATAAAGAGTGGTCCACCACTGGACCAATGGGTTTGAGCCATTAATAATTGGAACAAATCAAATTGTGGAAATGGATAAATTTTATTATTATTATTATTATTATTACTGGTATTTATATAGCACCAGCATATTCCGCAGCGCTTTACAATATTATCAAAAGGGGCGATTTAACAATAAATGAGACAATTGCAGAAAACTTACAGGAACAATAGGTTGAAGAGGGCCCTCCTCAAATGAGCTTTCAGTCTAAAGGAGGTGGGACGTAAAACACAACAGGACAGGAGATAGCTATTAAATAAGGTGGAGTGAAGCAGAGCTGGAGGAGAGAATAGAGTGCTGCCCTTTAGGAGAGAACAAGGGGCAGGTATGTGAGGTAGAGGTTACTCTGTGTGGCCATAAGATTTCCTAAAGAGATGGGTTTTGAGGCACTTTTTAAATGATTAAAGACTAGGGGAGAGCTTGATGGTCGTAGGCAGGCTATTCCAAAGGAAAAGAGCCACCCGCCAGAAGTCCTGCAAGCGTGAGTTAGCCGTACGGGAGTGAGCAGCTGACAGGAGAAGATCATGGGCAGAGAAGAAGAACATGATCAAAAGTGTCAAAGGCAGCAGAGAGCTCAGGAAGAATTCACATGGAGTAGTGCCCTTTGGATTTAGCTGTGATTAGGTCATTGGTGACTTTAATAAGAACAGTCTCAGTAGAATGGAGGGGGCGTAAGCCAGACTGAAGAGGGTCAAGGAGAAAGTTGGAATTGAGGAAACAAGTCAAACGGGTAAAGACCAGTCTTTCTAGAAGCTTTGAGGAAAAAGGGAGCAGGGATATGGGACGATAGTTAGAAGGGGAGTATGGTGTAAGAGTTTTTTTAAAGATGGGTACTAAAGTAGCATGTTATAGGCCAGCAGGGACAACACCAGAAGAGAGAGAGCAGTTGAAGATGTGTGTTAAGGAAGGCACAAAATAAGAGGAGAGAGATCTGATAAGGTGAGACGGGACCAGTGGCAGATCCAGGGGGGCAACGGGGCAATTGTCCCCCCCCCAAGATTCTCCCCTGCTGGCTAACGCAGGGCTGGCATTGTCAAAGTGCCTGCAATGTGTCTGCGAACCGAGGAGGGAGATCAGAGATCTCCCTCCCCAGTTCGCAGGCACTGTGCTGGCAGCCAGCGGGGGGAGTGAGAGAGGACCCGGGAGCTCGGCCTGCAGTTCCTCCGGGTCCTACTCTCGCGAGCACAAAGCGTTGCCGCGGTTACCATGGCAACGCTCCAAATCTCCCCTCCCGAGATCAGGCTCTGGATCCGCCACTTGATGTGACAGGATCAAGCGGGCAAGTGGTGGGGCGAGAGGAAAGGAGAAGTGCAGCCACCTCTTGTTGCCTGGGAGAAAGTATGAAGGGTAGAAAAGGCATGATACAGGTGTGGTTGAGAAATAGAGGGGCAAGGTGGTGAGAATTCTTTCCTTAGCTCTTCAATCATGTCGGTAAAGTAGCATGCAAAGCTATCGGCTGTAGGGTTAGTTTGTAAGGTAAGTTTGGGGGATGGCAGTAGCGGGGCAAAGAAGGGAGTTAAAGGTATTAAAAAGACGCCTGGGATTGCGGGAGCATCACCTAATGAGGGAGGAAAAGTCTGACTGTTTGGCAAGAGCAAGGGCTGCGCTGTATAAACGCAACATGAATTTGTAGTGGAGGAAGTCTGACTGGGTGCATGACTTCCTCCAGTAGCGTTCAGCAGAACGGGAGCATCTCTCCAGGTAGCGTGTTGATTTAGTATGCCACAGTTGTGGCCGTGTTCTCCTCAAGGTACATGTTTGGAGCAGGGATGCAGCGTCCAGGGCAGAGGTGAGGGTAGTGTTATATGAGCTGATAGCCAGTGAGGAACAGAAGAAAGTAGGGATGTGTAGAAGTTGGGAATCAATATTAGTTGATAGCTGCTGGAGGTCAATATAATTCAGATTTCTTCATTCATTCAGATTTGAATGAATTTCAAATGATGAGAAAGAGAGGGAAGGAGGGGTGGGTAGAGGTTTGAAGGAGCAGTGAGGTGAGAGCAGAAACCCTACACCATCACCTTTGCTTTCAGAGTGTCTTGGGTTGTGGGAAAATCGAAGACCCCCAAAGATAGAAAGGCAGGGGTAGCGGTGTCAGAGGGAGAGAGCCATGTTTCAGTTAAGGCTAGTAAGTCTAGGGAATGAGAGATGAAAAACCGTGCACAGCAATGGATTTAGTAACACTGCAAACAGAGCATGCATTCCAGAGTGCAGAATGGAAAGAAGAAGAGATTATTGTGATTCCTGCAGTTAGCACATGGTGGGACCAGGATTTGGAGAGTCATCACCAGCTGGTAGGAACTGATAGATGTAAGAGAAGGTGGGAGTAGGATTTAAACATTTTGTGAGAGGGTTTGTATTTAGAGGATTTAGAAAGGGTTGGTGGAGATAGGCATAAGTAGAGTGTATGGGATGAATAGAGAGGGGAGGGAAGTAAAGTGGGAGCAATAAAAATGGTGTCACCAGGGACAGGTGAGCAGAGGGATAAAGAGATTTAGCTAATTAGAGAGGTGAGAGTGAAAGTAAAGAATGTAAGGGAGAGCATTCTCTAAGGAGAATAAAGGAGTTTACAGTTGCAAGAAAAAGTATGTGAACCCTTTGGAATGATATGATTTTCTGCACAAATTGGTCATAAAATGTGATCTGATCATCATCTAAGTCACAACAATAGACAATCACAGTCTGCTTAAACTAATAACACAGAAAGAATGAAATGTTGCCATGTTTTTATTGAACACACCATGTAAACATTCACAGTGCAGGTGGAAAAAGTATGTGAACCCTTGGATTTAATAACTGGTTGAACCTCCTTTGGCAGCAATAACTTCAACCAAACGTTTCCTGTAGTTGCAGATCAGACGTGCACAACGGTCAGGAGTAATTCTTGACCATTCCTCTTTACAGAACTGTTTCAGTTCAGCAATATTCTTGGGATGTCTGGTGTGAATTGCTTTCTTGAGGTCATGCCACAGCATCTCAATCGGGTTGAGGTCAGGACTCTGACTGGGCCACTTCAGAAGGCGTATTTTCTTCTGTTGAAGCCATTCTGTTTATTTACTTCTATGCTTTGGGTCATTGTCCTGTTGCAACACCCATCTTCTGTTGAGCTTCAGCTGGTAGACAGATGGCCTTATGTTATCCTGCAAAATGTCTTGATAAACTTGGGAATTCATTTTTCCTTCGATGATAGCATTCCGTCCAGGCCCTGACGCAGCAAAGCAGCCTCAAACCATGATGCCCCCACCACCATACTTCACAGTTGGGATGAGGTTTTGATGTTGGTGTGCTGTGCCTTTTTTTCGCCACACATAGTATTGTGTGTTTCTTCCAAACAACTCAACTTTGGTTTCATCTGTCCACCGAATATTTTGCCAGTACTGCTGTGGAACATCCAGGTGCTCTTGTGCAAACTGGAAACGTGCAGCAATATTTTGTTTGGACAGCAGTGGCTTCCTCTGTGGTATCCTCCCATGAAATCCATTCTTGTTTAGTGTTTTACATAATGTAGATTCGCTAACAGGGATGTTAGCATTTGCCAGTGACTTTTGTAAGTCTTTAGCTGACACTCTAGGATTCTTCTTCACCTCATTGAGCAGTCTGTGCTGTGCTCTTGCAGTCATCTTTACAGGACGGCCACTCCTAGGAAGAGTAGCAGCAGTGCTGAACTTTCTCCATTTATAGACAATTTGTCTTACCATGGACTGATGAACAGCAAGGGAGATACTTTTATAACCCTTTCCAGCTTTATGCAAGTCAACAATTCTTAATCGTAGGTCTTCTGAGAGCTCTTTTGTGCAAGGCATCATTCACATCAGGCAATGCTTCTTGTGAAAAGCAAACCCAGAACTGGTGTGTGTTTTTTATAGGGCAGGGCAGCTGTAACCAACACCTCCAATCTCATCTTATTGATTGGACTCCAGTTGGCTGACATCTCACTCCAATTAGCTCTTGGAGATGTCATTAGTCTAGGGGTTCACATACTTTTTCCACCTGCACTGTGAATGTTTACATGGTGTGTTCAATAAAAACATGGCAACATTTCATTCTTTGTGTGTTATTAGTTTAAGCAGACTGTGATTGTCTATTGTTGTGACTTAGATGATGATCAGATCACATTTTATGACCAATTTGTGCAGAAATCCATATAATTCCAAAGGGTTCACATACTTTTTTGTGCAACTGTATATTATAAAGAAGGATAATTAGGATTTTTAGTTATGCAAAATTACAATCTATTTGAACCTGTGCTCCCACAGCATTTAGCCAGAGTCTTTCCTCAGAATGAGATCATGTGACATTTCATGTATTCCATTTGTCTATTTTGGCTTAAATTTTCATAGTCTTGCATACATTCTTTCTTTCTTTTTCTTTCTTTCTCTCTCTCTCTCTCTCTCTCTCTCTCTCACCTTCTGTCTTCACTTCAGCATCTCCTTCCTTCCTTCTCTCATCACTTCAGCATGTTTCTCTCTGCCTCCATTTCTTTATTTCTCTCTTTCCTCACTTCACCATCTTTCCCTTCCTTTTTTCCTTCCTTCCCTCCATCCAACCCTCTCTACCTCCCTCACCCCAAAGAAAGTGTCATGCTTGCTACTAGAAAGGAATTTGAAAATACTGTAACTATTACTGCCCTCTGCGTTACAGACTGTTTCAGTCTACGATACACAACTGAACTATTGAATCACTCACTATGTTACTTTGTTCGTATGTTTGATAATTCTGGACTCCTGACCTCGGCTTGTCCTGATTACTCTGTTAGCTTTCAACTCCTATGGTGACATAGGTCCAGAACATCACTTTGTCATTTTCCAATTTTGAAATGGACATCTAATATATTTGCAACTTGACTTCCCCCCCAAAAAACTTAAACAATCAGTATATAGCGTTACTATTATAACAGTGAGACTATGGTAAATAAAAATACTGAGGCTTTAATGTACCAAGTCATATCAGGATTTTGAAATGTCCTGTAAAAATGAAATTCATGTGTGTGAAAAAACACTAATAAAAGACTAACTTATAAATGGGGCTAACGTTTGTGATAAAGTGGCTAGACCCTTCTACTTAAATTATGCCATTTGGAATACTCAGGGTTGCCTACTTTTAAAAATAATATGCCATTAGAGGCTAATTTTCATTCCTAGGCTGCCATACTGCCTCAAAGGCAACATAGGCCCAGAAAATCACTTTGTCATTTGGAATAGAGTGAGGTGTTGGAAAGGGATGTAGTGTGTATTGTGTAGAATATAGTGAGGTGTGGGAAAGGGATGTAGTGTGTATTGTTTAGGTTATGTAGTGTGTGTATGGAATATGGTGAGGTGTGGAAAAGGAATGTAGTGTGTATTGTGTAGGTTATATAGTGTGTGTATGGAATATAGTGAGGTGTGGGAAAGAGATGTAGTGTGTGTAGGGAACACGGTGTGGTGAGATATGGATGTAGGGAACACACTATAGTGTGGGATAGGGATGAAGTTTGTATGTTTGTAGGTGTGTAAGTCACATAGTATGGGATAGGGATGTAGTGTGTGTGTGTAGGACACATAGTGTGGGGTGGGATAGGGATGTAGTGCGTGTAGGGCACATAGTGTGGGTGGGATAGGGGTGTAGGGCACATAGTGTGGGGTGATCAGGATGTAGTATGGGTAGGACACAGTGTGGGGTGGGTTAGGGATGTAATGTGTGTAGGGCACATTGGGTTTAAATGTTGCATTCTTAATGATGCAAAGTATAAATAAAACACACAACAACCTTAAATAGGTTTATTTTGATAAATTAAAACATTTTGCGAATGGCCGTGACTTTTATTACGAATTTCACAATCCCAATTTAAACATCCATAATAATATTAATAATAATCAACTATCACTTTAAACCAAAACCAAATAATCATTAACCATTTCCAGGCTCCGTCCCTTAAAGGACCACTATAGTGCCAGGAAAGCAAACTCGTTTTCCTGACACTATATGGTCATTAGGTTCCCCCCCATCCTCATGGCAACCCCTTCAAACCCTTCTCCTTTTGTCTGATATTTGGGTATAATGTGTTTTCTTACAGTTCTCTTAATTGCAAAAAACCTGTTTGAGGTTGCTACTTCTAAATTTTTAGACTTGCTGCCCTTTCTATGCACGACAGGAAACCCTACAAATTTCACAGGTGCACAAAACCTTGTTGAAGCTACTCTTTCGGGTTTTATGTTGATTTTTTTTGTATTTTATATCTGGGACAGGAAACTCACTAGCTCTCAACAATGCAGAAGTAGTAGCATATAGTAGATGTACATTAAATAACACTCATTTATATATGATGTAAAAATGTACATTGCTGCTAATTTAGTGTGGAGCTCTGATTTCTTTCATGTTATTTTCTATTTGATAATTTTTTTACCTGGGTCCACTTAAAATGTATCCGTCATGTTACACAACTTAAAGGGACACTCCATTGCCCAAAATAAATAGATAAATATATATATTTGTTGTGAGGTGTAAGGGATACTCACTAAGGTGTTTTGAGGACTTTCTATTGTATTTCATTGTGTCACACTGTAATACTATTATATTGCATTGTAGATAAATATATATAATCACTGTTTAGTAGATATACCCTGTGACAAAACCCCTACTTTGCTTTCCCCAGAGTCATTCTCCTACTCAGTTCGGACATTTCCTTAATATTTTATTCCTCTATTCTGATACCATTCGAAGAGACTAAGTACAGAACACCGACCACTGCCCTGGCTTATTAAGTTCAAACAAACCACAAGAATTCAGTGCTCTCTTTGTGTTCCTATAACCGAACGCCACGTGGTGGAGAAAACGGTGGCCATCTTTTTGCATGAAAGCAGTCAGTGGGACTTAGTCGTTGAGTGCCTGGAACTCTGAGGCAGCCACTCGACGGTCCAAACACTGGTGAAAACATACGAACGCCTGTTTCTGTTCGCGGCAAGCCAGGAGAGCGCTGTTCGGCAGGTTTGTTCAACTGAATGTCCCGAACAAACACTGTCCTATGAGACAGAGGATCTGTTCACCATTTTATCCATTCAACTTTTTATTTTTTTAAAAACTCTCAAACTAGACCGACCGCTACCTCTAAAACTATGGAACTATTTTGGGTAAACATCTCCAGAGCGGTCAGTCAAATCTTCACCCCAGGAGCGATTCGACTATGTTCATGGGATCTGAGCGCTTTTCGGATATGTTTGGCGCTCAGATCCAAGCTATCTGGTGATATGTAGACTATGGGGGTTCAGGTATGCGAAATATGACTTTATGTAAGTGTTTTGTGAAAAAGTAAATAATCTCTGTGCCTGGAGACAATGGAGTTTAATACAGAACTTAACCCAATTATCTCCCAAGTACAGAGGAGGGATTATACTGTTGTATGTGGGAGTATCCTGGACCTGAGAGTCAATGTCATTGGGTGATTGTTTTGTACTGCTTTCCCGTCTCCGAGGGAAGTGCCCCTTGCATGTGGACCTGCATAAAAGGCCAGCGTTGGCTTCCATTAAACACATTGTTTTATCCCTTCATGAAGTCTTGGCTCATGTTTGGGGAATTGAGTTATAATCACTACAACTTCTTCTATGCCTGGATTTTGGGAGATTCTTCACAGATATACTCAGTCGATGTATAGGGGATCCATTACATACCCCAAATGAAAAAACGCATTTTGTTTTATTGCATGTATATCGAAAAACAGCTTGTAAAAGCTGCAGATCTCTGGCCTAAAGCCTTTTCCAGCCCTCCCCTACTAAGCCAGCCAATGCTTTATGTCGCTGTCCAATCACAGACTTCCAATGCAGCGTAATGAGAAGTCTTTGTGATTGCTGCCTCTTGAGTTTAACTCCTTTGAGCTAACCAAACCAGGAAGTAACAGGACTAGCTGTCTACTTGAAAGCCATGGGGGTGTACCAGATTAATTTTAAAAGGGCCAATTTCTATTGAAATCTGCACTTTTTGCAAAATGACAAATAGGACACACTCGTGTCACATAAAGCATTTCAGCAAGCTAAATTGGAGTGTTCCTTTTTTATGAAATTATAACTATATCACATTTCATCTACTCAAAGATTGTTAATAAATGTATAGATTATATAACACCATTACATGACTCCCAACATCCTCCACATCAGCAGGACAATCATTATTTTTTGGTCCTCTCCTGCCATCCCAACTTTGTTTCTGGTATCCCACTTTTGAGGGGGGGTGGAATAATGAGACACTTAGGGGGACTAAGGGAATTAAGTACATTGGGGGACTGTGACACATGGGGACTGAAATACATGAGGGAATGAGATACATGGGGGGGACTGGTGGAATGAAATACATGGGGTGGCTGGGGAGATGCGTCACCTGGCAATGACAGACATGGGGGATAAGGGAATAAGACACATGTGCAGCTGTGGGAATTAGACACATGAATGGGGGGCTAAGGGAATAAGACACGGGCGTTAATAGAATGAGACACATGGGGGGCTGGGGGAATAAGACACATGGGGGCTGGGGGGAGAATGAGACACATAAGAGGGCTGGGGAAGAATGAGACACATAAGAGGGCTGTGGAGAATGAGACACATAAGAGGGCTGGGGGAGAATGAAACACATAAGAGGGCTGGGGGAGAATGAAACACATAAGAGGGCTGGGGGGAGAATGAGACACATAAGAGATCTGGGGGGAGAATGAGACACATAAGAGGGCTGGGGGAGAATGAAACACATAAAAGGGCTGAGGGGGAATGAGACACATGGGAGGGCTGGGGGGAGAATGAGACATGTGGGGGGACTGGGTAAATGAGACATGTGGGGTGGCTGGGGGGATGAAATTGGTTCTGTTGAATACTCCAATAAATTAAATTGTGGGTCTTGAATATTTCAAAATTTTAACATGAGGCTCCCAGAGACATGAAGTTTAGCCACCCCTTTTAACTGTGAACATTGCAGTTGCTGAGTTTATGTACTCTTCAAAGAAATGCACATTTTAAAGTCCATCATGTGGATATCTAACTTTATTTTTACAGTAAAAAGTGTTTGACATTTTCAAAGGGGTTTTGTAAGCTGCAAGTAAAAATCCCAGAATTCTTTGATAGCCAGCTGCTGTGAAATGTACTCTGCTTGTAGAACACGAGATATACATTCCTATCTGTTACCACTTGCATGTCTGATGCATTATATGATTATTTCTCATACTCTTTACTTTCCCATCACTTCCCATTTCTGCTAATGAATAAAGGGTGTAGAACCCAACATTGCATATGTGATGCTATTTTGGGCACCAGTTTTGCAGAACTAGAAATGGTGTAGAGACGATCTACAAAATTAATAGAGATGGGGTGGAGGGTGCTTTATGTTGTGAAACATTCTGTTGACTTCCATGGTGATTGCTCCTTACTTTGCACATTGCCCCATTTTTGCCTTGATAGTTGTCACCTCTAACCGTGTGCCTAATAACCTTCTACTCAATGTATTATGATTTAATGTGTTTCCTTTATATTTGTTTCAGGGTTCCCGCATTACACGTCACAGAGAGCTGAACATGAATCATTACGCAAACAAAAAAAGTGCAGCAGAAAGTATGCTGGATATAGCCCTCCTCATGGCGAACGCCTCCCAGCTGAAAGCTGTCATAGATCAAGGACCCACTTTTAACTTCTACATCCCTCTCATCGTCCTTATATCAATCTCACTCGTATTGCAAATTGTGGTGGGCGTTCTCCTAATCTTCATTGGTTGGTATCAATCTATCTGTCTATTGTCTACCAGCCTTGACCTAATCCAAATGCATTACCCCTAGACTCCCATAAACTCACACATTCCTATATGTACCTGACAGAATGGTGTCTGAAATGCAAGTGCAGTTATACATGTTAGAGGGACTGTCATATTATTTTGATTTATTTTTACCTCTGCTTTATCATTAGAAGCCAAAGTGAAACCCCCCAACCCCCCAACGGACGTGTCTGTTTATTTTTGGTATTCAATTTACATTTACAGGCTTATTCACTGAAGGCTGCATTTCAAATGTTACAGCAAAAAAAAAGAATTTGAAAAACTCTCTAAGTCAATACTGTCTGAACAATTATTTGAATTCACACTTTAATTTATAACTCTGTGTATCCTGCCTTGGAGCTGATTGTAAAGTTGTATGGCCATTACAATCAGGAGCAAATGTCGGTGTGAGATGTCTTTTGTTGTTTTTTTTTACACCATCGAAAGTCTTGTTTTTAGGTAATTCAAGCACAGGGACATAATTTGGTCCATTACATGTAAATGTTAAAACGGAATGTGAAAAATGGAAGAGCTTCCAGTTGTGTGGATCTATACATTATCTATGCATTTGATAAATACATGGCTGGCAAAATCTATACATTAACTATGCATTTGATAAATATATGGAGAATACAGTGTATAGATTTAGTTGTATTACTTCAGACTGTCATTCATGTCATGTCATGCTTACTGTTGATACATTTTCATGCAGATTTACTTCTTAGTTTCATATCGGTCCATTCTCCGAGTATTGCTTTATACCGCTTGAATTTTTTTCAATTTAAGAGTAATGACATGGTTTTTATTTTGCAGTGAAATATGACCTTAACAACCCAGCTAAACACGCTAAACTGGATGACCTCAACAATGCCGCCACCGGCCTCGTATTCATTATTGTTGTTGTAAACATTTTCATTACGGCCTTTGGAGTTCAGAAACCTGTGGATGATGCCCCTAAATCATAACATCCAATCAATTGAGCGGCCATGTTTAGAGCTGCTAGGTATGTGGTAACTTAAATAATACTCCAAACATTTCAAATGGACAAAGAGGGAAATTTTCATTTTTGGGGTATGAATGCAGGTGTGACCAGGGGCAAAGCTATTCTGAGAAATTTTAGGTGGCTTAATAATTTATGCAAATAAAATGTAAATTAGGACAAGAACATTATTTACACAGACAGATTTCTGAACAAATTTATTGTAGTGTAAAGATACATTACTGCTTGCCTCCCAAGTGTCTTTTTTTTAGCAGGACAGTCACAATTTTAAAGTGCTGTTCTGGCCTCAAGCTTTAGTTTCCTGGTGTCTCGCATTTGGTAACAGTGTGTATTGTTAGACGCGCTCACACTGCATAGGACTATGCTTTAGCAGCGCTCTCTGCATGGTCCTGAAAGCTGGGAGTCGACAAGACAGCCTGTCAGGTGGCAGGCTGACCCGCCTGATTTTGGATCAGACTGCCCCTATTCCAGACGGCCTGCCCATTGTGGGCATCGCTAGTGACACAGTTTGCATCACTGGTAAAACCCTGTCAGGACTCTGCCCAAACAAATTGCTTTTTAGAGGACCAGTGTTGGGAGGTATGTTACTGTGAGTATCATTGCTTTAAAGTTCTGTTATACACTCACACACCAACAATATGGAGCTCCTAGAAAAGGACATTAGGATGTTGGCCCAAAATAGGGACTGCCCCTTCTAAATAGGGACACTTGGGAGGTATGCTTAAAGTTGTAACCAACACTAAGGTTACAGGTTACTCATTACAATTGTGCCATAATGCACTCAGCAAAAAGCCCCATCCAAAGATTTCAATATTTCCGCTCAAGTGGCCAAGAATACATCTTTAATTTGATCCAAAAAGTCTGCGTGACTTCTCACAATAAAGCGAACTGTATTAAATTTGCTTGTGCAATCTGTTCTTATCCACTTGTATTACGCCCATACCTATCTCCACACTAGAGAACTTGAAGGTTACTAATTAACCTCTTGTTAGTATTAGGCAAATATTAAACGTGATTGTATGTGGAAGGACTATGCTAGAAGGTGCTATTTGTATAAAAAATCAGATTGTAATGTATATGACGGGGCTAATGTTTTAACACTGCATTTAGGCGTTTTAATGGTGCTGTTAGCTGGTCATTGTGTATTTTGGTACTCCTCTAATTATAGATTCTAACTTAAGTTAAGAGTTGTAGTTACACTTAGGCAGCAGTTACATGACCTGTAAGGAATTTTCAGGGGGACTTACTCTTTTAAAAATAAGAATTACACTTTCTACCATTGTAATATTTAGAAAAATAAAAGGAATACTATAGTGCTAGGAATACAAAGCTGTATTCCTGGCACTACCGATCCCTCTGCCTCCCTCCCCGGTAAATGAAGGGTTAAAAAAATTCTCGGGAACTGCAATGTTTAAGATTGCAGCCCTGGGTGCAAAAGGGACACGGCACCCAGACCACTTCAATGAGCTGAAGTGGTCTGGATGCCTACAGTGTCCCTTTTATGTAGCAGTAAGATCCAATGCAAAATTACACCTTACAGAATTCAAGCTGAACCCAGAACTTGTATATTGATCATCTATTAAAAGGACTCCCTGTACACCCAATCTACTACAGGTATTTGGTTAAATTATGGTGCAGTGAATCTTTCAATGTTCTTCCCAGATTTTATGTTGAAGCAGTTTCAAACTGTTTGAAAAGAAAACACAAATTTATTTTTATCAACACCCACATTTCATCCCCTCTGTAGCTGCTCAGATAATCAGAAATTTTACTTATGTATAATCTGACCAAAGCCATGTAATCTTAGATGGCAGACAAAGGCTGCAAGCTCCCATCTTATCATTGCTAAGGTGGGGTAATGTGTTCTTCCTTATCTACGTGGCATGGCGTGCTAAAGTAAGACCCATTTCAGACCTCTACTAAATGGTTTGAGATAATCAGACAATTGCAACAACTTTTCGCATATTAACCTCTACAGTGCTTCTAGAGTTCTGTACCTACGCTGATAACACTGGCGTACATACCAGAGTCGCAGGGGTCGCGACTGCGACCGGGCCCGGCCCACCAGGGGGCCCGGCCGCCCCTGCGACCCGGTATGTACGCCCAGGGCCAGCCTCTTCCCCTGGGGGGCCCAGGAGCCGACCACCCCAGGGCCCCCTGAGGCTGGCCCTGCTGACCCCGGGTGGCCGGTCGGGCAGGCAGGCGGGCGCGCGAGGGAGCACTCAGTGCTTCCTCTTCAGCTCCCTCGCGCACCGCAATGATACCGGAGCCGGAAGATGACGTCATCTTCCGGCGCCGGCATCCCTACGCGGCGCGCGAGGGAGCTGAAGAGGAAGCACTGAGTGCTCCCTCGCGCGCCCGCCTGCCCGACCGGCCACCCGCCCAGGAGCCCAGCACCACCACTGGACCCCAGGGAATAATCCCCCCCAGCACTCCAAAAGGTAAGGAGGCTGGGGGGATTATATTAAAAAAAAAAAAAGTGTGAGTGTGAGTGTTAGTGAGTGTGAGTGTTAGAGTGAGTGTTAGAGTGTGTGTTAGAGTGAGTGTTAGAGTGAGTGTTAGTGTGTGTGTCTGCTAGTGAGTGTCAGTGAGTGTGTTACTGTGTGTGTCTTACTGAGTGTGTGTGTGTTAGTGAGTCTGTTTGATGTCTGTTAGTGAGTGTGTGTTTGTCAATGAGAGTGTATGTTTTGTAAGTGAGTGTGTATGTATGTCTGTCGCTGACTGTATCTCTGTCAGTAAATGTGTGTGTCTGTTAGCTAGTGTGTATGCGACTGTAAGTAAGTGTGTGTGTCTTCAGCACTTACCTTTCTCCAGCGCCGGACTCCCTTGGCGCTGAGGATCCCTCAGCCTCTCAGCTCCGAATGCGACCGCGCACGCATTCAAACCGCCCATAGGAAAGCATTACTCAATGCTTTCCTATGGACGTTCAGTGTGCTCCTCTAGCGGCTGTCCGTGAGACAGCCACTAGAGGCTGGATTAACCCTCAGTGAAACATAGCAGTTTCTCTGAAACTGCTATGTTTTCAGCTTCAGGGTTAAAACTAGAGGGACCTGACACCCAGACAACTTCATTGAGCTGATGTGATCTGGGTGTCTGTAGTGGTCCTTTAAAGGACCACTATAGTGCCAGGAAAACATACTCGTTTTCCTGGCATTATAGTGCCCTGAGGGTGCCCCCACCCTCAGGGACCCCCTCCCGCCCGGCTCTGGAAAGGGGTAAAACTTACCTTTTTCCACCGCTGGGCGGAGAGCTCTCCTCCTCCGATCCTCCTCTTCTCCTCCCCGTCGGCTGTATGTGCACGCGCGGCAAGAGCTGTGCACGCATTCAGCCGGTCACATAGGAAAGCATTCATAATGCTTTCCTATGGACGCTGGCGTGCTCTCACTGTGAAAATCACAGTGAGAAGCACGCAAGCGCCTCTAGCGGCTGTCAATGGGACAGCCACTAGAGGAAATAGGGGAAGGCTTAACCCACTCATAAACACAGCAGTTTCTCTGAAACTGATATGTTTATGAAAAAATGGGTTAACCCTAGCTCGACCTGGCACCCAGACCACTTCATTAAGCTGAAGTGGTCTGGGTGCCTAGAGTGGTCCTTTAAGTGTGTGTGCATCTGCATGCACTGGCGTACATACCGCGGTCGCAGGGGTCGCAGCCCTGTAACCCCTGCGACCAGGTGCCCACCGCCATGTGTTGCGGCCCAGCCCGCGCGGGGGGGCCCACGGATCAATTTTCGCACCGGGGCCCCATGGGTCATGTGTACGCCACTGGCTGATAAGTAAGTATTTTTCGGAAATATTTGGCAAGACTTGGGAGTGAAGTGTATGTATGGTTCTAAAGCATCTAAACCACCTGCTCGTTCCTAAGTATTGTACCAACTGATAAGACAATAAGGAATTTGTTGTGCATTTAAAGTAGTTTGTAGTTGTTGTTGGACTTTTATGTGAATTATTATTTTTCTAAAAAAGATATGTATTTTCTTTGCACTTGTCATTACAAATATGTCAACAGGTATGACCAGTATAATAGGTAATAACAGGTTATTTTTAACACGAGCAGTGCTTGGTAATCATATTTGTTTTCTAACACACCTATCATATAACCCTGTGCCTGGGAGCATCCATACTTCATTATAAATCATGCTGCATTCCCTAGGTGAATATCAAGGCAAACAATAACATTTTTAACTTTTTATAGGTTATAAAAATGATGGTCTTTCTCAATAGCAGTATGTGTATCAGTATTAGTGTCCCCCTTCACCAGTTTAAATCTGCATGTATTTGCAGGCAGTTCCTTCTAGCCACCGCCTGGTAAAATGTGATAGCGTTACCATGGTAACACATGCTAATGCTCTGATACTGTAGAAGGAGCAGAGACCTTGGTTCAGCCACCCAAATTCTCCTTCCTACCCTCGTTATCAGAGGCCCTGGCAGATGTTCTCCCTAAGGCAACCATGGTGCACCTTCGTGTGCCATCCATGCAAGAGCCAACTTGGGAGACTCTGACTGCCTTGACTTGGCTTCTCAGTGGAAGGACGCCACATGTTCTGGTACCCTCTTTAGATATGCTACTGCAACTTAGCCCTGCTCTGCTCAATATAGAATGTTTTACCTCCAGCTACACTGTTACATATGCTGAAAAGAGATGTGTCCATCAAGTTCAGCCTTTGTAAAGTAAACACTATGCTGTAAGACCTAATTGAAAATCAAACAAATTTTTCTATATCGTCTGTGAGTGACAGCCAGTGGCGGTGTGATTAAGGCTGTATAAAAGGAAAGTATAGTGATTTAACTCCTAAATGGCAGAGAATTGAGCAGCGAGACTGTATGGCCATGATTTTTTTTAATTTTTTTAACATCAGAATATGGTATTTGCTGTTTCATTCCTTGAATAGTCATAGTTGAAGTTATCAAATACCAAATCATCATATGTATTGTTCAATCTCTCTTTCTCTGTCTCTTATCTAATTACTTTTCTATTTCCTTTTTTTTGTTTATCTAAAAACTATTATAATTTTATTAAACTATCATATACATCACAGACTAACTAACAAACAGACATTTGCTCGGTTCGCGGTGCAACAAAAAAAAAAGAAAGATGAAAAAATTCCCATATCAGGCTCGGAGGGGGGGTGGGGGGGCAACATAATTTCCTATACAGAAAGGAAAAAGTACGGCTAGTGAAAAAAAAGAAAAGGAAAAATCCACTAGGAAGAGAGAAGATAAGGGGGAAAAAAAACCTCATTGTTCAGGGTCTAGTTTTTAATCCATTTGTCCCAGTAGGTAAAATGATGTCCCTTTTTTGGTGCGGAGTTTGTGATGGCCCTTTCCATTTTACATTGAATAATGCTTTGAGCATGGATCTTAGGCTAATTATCTACCTTAGGAGATTTCCAATTTCTGGCTATTGATGTTTTCACAGCCATTAAGATGTGAAAAATAATAGGTCTAAATTCTTTATTGATCACCGTCATATCCATATGTAATAGAGCCATACTTTGAGTTAGATTGATCTTTATTTCCAATATGATAGATATTGGTTTAGTTCCTCCCATAAGGGTCTAATTTTCAGGCAATCCCAACAAATATGTTTGAAGTATGCAATTAATTCATTACATCTCCAACAATTAGGTGGGGCTGTAGGATACATTTTTGCTATTTTGTAAGCATTTCTATACCATCTGTTTAGTATTTTATAATAAGTTTTGTGTATATTTAAACAATGACAAACTTTATATAGCGTATTTAAGCACTTTTAAGCAGTTTTGTTGTATAGATCATGCCCCTACCTACACTGTTCTATACAACAAAACTGCTTAAAAGTTTTTGTTTGTTTTTGTGCTTAGAACATCCCATTAAAGCCATTCATTCAGTGATTTAATACTGAAGGGAAGGATAGGGCTAGTGAACTCCAGGCATTATAACCATTTGGTGAGTTGAAGTAGTTTGCCTGAAGTGTCCATTTAAATATTTATTTAGAGTGTATTTTAAAATTAATTTGTCTTAAAATGTATAACTAAAATTCTTTGTCTCACCTTTTCTTTTTCAGGTTTAACCCTGTGAAGATACTGTAAGGTCCCATTTTTTCATATGACATGCAACAAAATATAATGCCAACTTGTCTTCCTATTAAAACTAGCCACATGGACAATGGAACTTTATTACACACTTCCTGTGTGCGTCACATATTGTGGAAACATGTCCTAAGACTACAATCTATTCAGATAATTCTTCTACATTCAACAACAACAGAGGGGGGGAAAATCAGCTTGTAGTTTTTACAGTCATCCCTTTATTTCGTGGAGAGGGGACCCATTTATTAGGACACCTAGTGATGTACTATCATGAGACCTGGATATGTGTTTAATTTTAATACCACTGTTAAAGGGCAGATATTTAGGCAGTCACGTCTTGCGTTAATGGACAATTTGTCAGCATGGCTTTTTGTACATGGATTAATGATCAAATTCCAATATGAACCATGCGTCCTGCACATTTCCTGCACGTTTTGGAGCCAAAGGATTTTTCTACCAGGCATTTTTATTTCTCTTCTTTATTACTGCAAATTATTTTATAGCATGAGATTGTTTACTACAAATGGAAAATGTGTAAAAAGTAGTTTATTTTTTGTATTTTTTTAATGCTATGTTTTAGAATGCACCCAACATCAGATAGAAGGAAGACATATTTCAATTAGAAGGACTTGCTAGGTTGTTCGTCCCTTTATTTTCATTCATGTCCAGTTCTTGAATGCTCAGTCCACAGCTCAGTTTTCTCGAGAAGGGAGAGAGCATTCCCTATTGTACATGCGGTGTATACACACTGCACACACAATATGGACAAAATGTGGAACTGCGTGTTCCAGACACTATACTGATAACCCTGGTGGTCTGTCTTATAACTGTGGTGATTTTTACAATTTCACTGTCGGTATATCCCAACTTGATTAAAGACAATGGGATCAGGGAACTCGAAGCACCATGAAGTTGCACGGACAAAAAGTGTATATAGTGCTTAGATTGACCTTTAAATTGTCTTTAAATTATTATTCTTTGCACCTATTTACTTTTTCTCTTCTTTTTTTTAGCTGGCTGTTTCTTGAGTTTGTTTAGCAGTTGTGTTTTTTCTTTTTGTTTGTTTTTTTACTTTGTTTAAAAAAAAAAAAAATACAATATGTAATATATATTGTCCTGTATTCTCAAAAGTCCAGGAACTTGAATAGCATAAGCAGTTCAAAAACTGTATTTTCCCTACACTGCGTAGTGCTGGGACCTAATCAGCTTAAAGGATCACTATAGTGTCAGGAAAACAAAGTGGTTTTCCTGACACTATAGTGCCCTGAGGGTGCTCCCACCCTCAGGGTCCCCCTCCCAAGGCGCTGAAGGGGTTACCTTACCTTATTCCAGCGCCGGGCTCCCACGGCGCTGGTGACTTCTCCTCCCCCGCCGACGTCAGCGCCCTCTGCCGACGTTAGCGGAGCTGAATGCGCATGCGCGGCGCATTCAAGCTGTCAATAGGAAAGCCTTTCTCAATGCTTTCCTATGGACACTCTCTGCGCGATGGAGGCATAACATGCCTCCAGCGTCGCAGATGCGCCTCTAGTGGCTGTCGGGAAAACAGCCACTAGAGGCTGGCTTAACCCTGCTATGTTTGGCTTAAAACTGCTATGTTTGCATCTGCAGGGTTAAAACCCTAAGGGACCTGGCACCCAGACCACTTCATTGAGCTGAAGTGGTCTGGGTGACTATAGTGTCCCTTTAACTACAGAAATAGCATTTTCTGACATCATGAACTCAGCATTTCTTTTTCCAATTCTTGTTGAAATGGTCATATTTTCAAGTAGTGATTACAGCAACATTTACTGTGAGTACATTGTGTTAATTTTAAACTTAACAATATTCCCAACACACTGAGTTACATACAAGAAACATGTAGGTGACAGAGCTGCTTTAATTGTGTTGTATCTGCAGCTCATTGTAGATAAAAAAAAGTATACTGTTACTGTATGTATATATACAAATTAATGTTACAGGGCATGTGTTACATGGACAAGTGCCTTCCTATATAATATACTGCGTTAACTCCTTACTGCCTGCAGAGTATTTATACACAGCGCGATATACACAACAACACATACAGGGTTATACACTAAAGTGTTAATTCAAAGTGAATATCAATAGCATAGCTGACGTACAGAATTTTTCCAGTTCTAGTCAAAAACCCCAGTAGTGATTTGATTATGTTTTGTATTTCTGCATGATCCATTCCTGTTATAATGACTAAAACCTGTTTATTTATTTAGACTTTTGTCAGCAGCCATTATCTTTATAAAATAATAGTTGATGTAACGCAAGCATCCTACTTTGAATAGTGTTCCTTGCTATACAGATGAAAGGTCTAATAAGGACTCGTGAGCGCTGGGGAGTAGTTCTACCTTGGTTGAGTTTCACCCCCTTCCCCTCTCATACTGCCAGAGAAATTATGTCTCTGAATCCCTAGCTATCTATTTATCCAAATTTAACCCCTTAAGGACACATGACATGTGTGACATGTCATGATTCCCTTTTATTCCAGAAGTTTGGTCCTTAAGGGGTTAAACAATAGAGCAAATCTGTGCTATATAAATAATGGGCTCCCAACGCAGTTGTCATAAACCCGCAACTATATTACAATACTTGGGGGAACATTATATTATTAAATGATAAATTGGGAAATTGTCTTTTTATGACAAAATTATCTGACACACATATACATATATATTTATATTATATTTATATATAAACTACATATATATAATATGTATATATGCAATCATTACTGGGTGGACAATGCAGCTTTAGACACATTGTATAGTCTAGAGCAGTGGTTCCAAAACCAGCCCTCATTACCCACAAATAATCCAGGATTTATGCATTTTCCTTTTTCTTTTTTTTTTAATTCCAGTTGAGGTAGTCAGAAAACCTGGACTGTTGGTGGATTGTGAGGACTGGTTTGGGAACCACTGGTCTAGAGATATAGGCATACCTATACCTATTGTACACTAGTGGTAAACTATATTATGTTATGCACCTGTTAAATATATCTTGTTTTCTATCTATCCAAATGGATCTATTAAATATGGTTTTATATATTCCAAAAAGCTTTATTTTTATTACAGATGTTAGTTTTTGTTTAACAGATTATTTTATTCAAGACTACAGAATAAATAGAGAAACACATTGTGTAAATGGGTTCTGTGTCATTGTGATTGGTTTTCAAATTTCCATCCAAAAATAGTTAAACGCCCATGGAGTGTTCCTTTAAGAGATTGTCTCCCTATTTAGTAGATATAACCCCAAGGAAATCATGCATGTATTTTTATCTGCTTGCTTTCTTTGGTGGTACATGAAAATTCCCAACACAGACTCTCCACTCACGAGATTGTAGCTTTCCAGTGCTACTCATTCAAGTTAAATGGTGTAGATCAGTGATGGCAGACCTATACCACAGGTCCAACCTGGCACTTCAATATTTCACCAAGATAAAATTGATGTCTATCTATAGGGTAATAATGAGTTCTGTAGGTCCACTTAAATACTTCATGCTAAGGCACTTGATATGTTAACCTTGATTACAATATAACACATCTAGTGGTTTTGCAGTACAACGGCAGCATAGAGGTAGAGGAAATTTAATTTGGTAAGACGATATTAGGAGGAAATATTTGGGACAGCTAAGTGTGATGTGGAAAATATGGAAAGCTTGTATTACTTCTACATACGATGTATGGTACATTAAACCACCCAGGGGCAGGCAACCTTCAGCACTCCAGATGTTGTAGACTATATCTGTGATGCTTTTGTGTAATGTCTCTTTAATTGGAACTCAACTGCAGAAACAATAAGTTTCACCTCCTTTATTTTATTGAAGTGAACAAGGTAGACTGTATCTTTAAATACACATGCAAGGAAAAAATGCAATGCTTATTTGTCAACAGAGAGTTTAGAGAAATTAAATACTATAATAATTGATATGACTTGTTTTCCTTGACAAGAGATTTACTTAACTTAGAAGCACTCTGGCACTGGAAGGTTAATTCACCCAATGGAGGAAAAGGAAGGAGTCTCTTTTAACAAACTGCAGTTTAGTAGTGAGAGAAAGGAAGTCCATTTGTCCAAGCCGAGGTCTGAGAGAGGAGAAGGTAGAAATCCATTTACAAGCCGAGGTCTGAGGGATGAGAAGGTAAAAATCCGTTTACAAGCCGAGGTCTGAGGGATGAGAAGGTAGAAATCCGTTTACAACCCGAGGTCTGAGGGATGAGAAGGTAGAAATCCGTTTACAACCCGAGGTCTGAGAGAGGAGCCGGTAGCATCGAGTGGGGCAGCTGATCTTACTGCCGCACCTGAGTGAATAATCCAGCCCTTTGAATCTGGCGCGGTCTTCCTAAGTATCGTGGAAAGACCGCGTCAGAAAAAAGGGCGGAGCTAAGCGCCGTGAACCCGGAAGTGGGTTCCGGCGGCAGCATGAATGTTAGGTATACCTGATAGTACCCCCTTCTCATGGGGCATCCTCTGGGTGCACTTATTTCGGTTTAGAGGGGTAGCGTTTGTGAAAAGCATCAACTAATCTCTTTGCATGAACATTAGATGAATCTTCCCAGGTATCTTCATCAACTCCATAACCTTTCCATCTGATAAGGTATTGTAAAGAGCCACGGTGGATACGAGAATCCAAAATCTTATGAATTTCATATTCTTCTTCACCTTGGACGATGATAGGTTCAGGAGTTGTTACTATTTCTCTATGGAAAGGATCAGGGATGTGTGGTTTAAGCAAAGAGACATGGAATACTGGATGAAGTTTAAAACTTGGAGGAAGTTTTAATTTAACAACGTTATCATTGATGATTGTAGTTATTTGAAAAGGACCAAGAAAAAGAGAGCTCAATTTCTTTGAAGGACGGTTTGTGGTAATGTTTTTTGAAGAGAGCCAGACAAGATCCCCCACTTTATAAGGAGGGGGAATTCTTCTTTTATGGTCAAAAAACTTTTTCTGGTAGTTTTGGGCGAGTTGAAGATTCTCCCGTAATTTAAGGAATAGAGAAGACATAAATTCATTTTTTGAAGTAACCGTGGGATTGGATGAAGAATTAGATGGGATGGGAAATGAGGACGGATGAAATCCATAGTTGGAGAAAAAAGGAGTAATTTTCGTACTAGAATGAATGGTATTATTGTAAGAAAATTCAGCCATAGGTAACCAAGTGGTCCAGTCATCTTGCAGGTATGAACAATAACATCGGAGATATTGTTCCAAACATTGATTAACTCTCTCTGTTTGCCCATTAGTCTGGGGATGATAGGCAGAAGAGAGTTTGCGTTGAATTTGAAGAGAGAGACACATCTCTTTCCAGAATTTGGAGGTAAATTGTGTCCCCCTATCAGAAATAATTTCTTCTGGAAGACCATGAAGCTTTACAATATTATCAATAAAGACTTTGGACAATTCTACGGAGGAGGGTAATTTTTTTAAAGAGATGAAATGGGACATTTTAGTGAAGCGGTCCACAACAACAAGAATAGTGGTAAACTGTCGGGATGGAGGAAGGTCAACAAGAAAATCCATAGAAATGGATTGCCAAGGTTTTTCTGGAATAGGTAAGTTAAGTAGTAATCCAAAAGGTTGATTATGTTCAGATTTGGACCTTTGACAGATAGGACAAGTTTTGACATATAATTCAATGGTTCTATCTTGGCGAGGCCACCAATAATATCGTGAAGTTAGTTCAAGAGTTTTCTTTATTCCAGGATGTCCAGCTAGGGGTGAATCATGAACCATTTTGAGTAATTTGTTCCTAAGAATGGGAGGAATATAAATCCTATTTTTAAAGTAAAATATACCATCCTTTTTTGTTAAATTAGGTGTTTTGGGAAGTTCAAGATCCTTTTGATTCAAGTTCCTTAAGTCATCCTGAAGAGAAGAGAGGATCCCTATTATTTTGTTAGGAGGATAAACATCAATAGAAGTTTTAGAAGGAATTCGAGAAAGAGCGTCAGCCTTTTTATTTCTAGTTCCAGGTCTGTATATTAATTGGAAGTTAAACCGGTTAAAAAATAGGTTCCATCTAACTTGTCTAGCCGTAAGGGTTTTATTAGTATAAAGATATTCAAGATTTTTATGGTCTGTATAGACTATGATAGGTTGTTTTGTATCTTCTAATAGATGGCACCAATTTTCAAAGGCAGCTTTAACACTTAATAATTCCTTTTCACCAATAGGATAATTTTTTTCAGCAGAGCTCAAGGATCTTGAAAAGAATGCGACTGGATGAAGTGGATCTTGAGGAGTCTTTTGCTGAGAAAGAACTGCTCCATAGCTGAATCTGATGCATCGACTTCTAGGACATACAAGAATGTTGGATTAGGTAGCTGTAGAATAGGTGCAGTTGTAAATCTTTTTTTTAAACTGTCGAAGGCAGCTTGTGCATCTTTATTCCATTTGAAAGGACGTTTAGTACTGTTAAGGTGGTTAAGTGGATGTGATACCTCTGAGTAGTTTCTAATGAATTTTCTATAGAAGTTTGCAAATCCAAGAAATCGTTGCAATTCTTTTGTAGTAGTAGGAACGGGCCAGTTAATAATACATTCGATTTTAGAGTTATCCATTTTCAGAGAATGAGGTGAAAGAATGTATCCAAGAAAGGAGAGTTCAGTAACTTCAAAAAGACATTTCTCTGGTTTAGCGTATAATTTGTGAGTTCTCAATCTAGATAGAACCCATCTTACATGCTTCCTATGCTCATCCAAATTGTTAGAATATATTAGAATATCATCTAAGTAGATAATAACACAAACATCCAAAAGATCTCTAAAGATATCATTTATAAAATGTTGGAATGTTGCAGGGGCATTACAAAGCCCAAAAGGCATCACTAGATATTCGTAGAGACCATATCTAGTCCGGAAGGCGGTCTTCCATTCATCATCCTGTTTTATTCTGATGAGGTTATATGCGCCTCGGAGGTCGAGTTTAGTGAATATAGTTGCGGTTCTTAACCTTTCAATTAATTCATTTATTAGTGGAAGAGGATAACGATTTTTTATGGTTATTTTATTTAAGGCTCTGTAATCTATAATGGGTCGGATGGTTTGGTCCTTATTCCTCACAAAAAATATACTAGAGGCAGCCGGTGAAGTCGAGGGTCTGATGAATCCTTTACGTAAATTTTCATTAAGATATTCTTTTAAGGTCTGTAATTCCTTTTCAGAAAGTGGATAAATGTGTCCATAAGGAATGGGAGCACCAGGCATTAGATCTATTGGGCAATCATATGCTCGATGAGGTGGAAGTGTTTCCGCTTCTTTTTTACAAAAGACATCTGAAAAGTCAGAGTAGAATGGAGGTATAATTGATTCCTGAGTAGTTTGGAGAATAGGAATATGTTGGAAGCAGGTTTTTTTGCAAAAGTCAGAAGGAAAAGAAATGGAAAAGGGTGACCATTTAATTAAAGGATCATGAGTTTTTAACCAATTAATTCCTAGAATGACGGGATAAAGTGGAGATTTAATAACATCAAATGTAAGGAACTCTGTATGTACGTTATTGGTAATCATTCTTAGAGGAATTGTCTCATCTTTTATGGGTCCTGAGGATATGAATGAACCATCAATAACTCTGATTGGAATAAAATTGGTTTTTCGAACACACGGAATTTTATTCTTTGCAACAAAAGAAAAATCAAGGAAGGTTCCATTAGCACCAGAATCAATAATGGCTTCAGTCACGATTCTTTTTGTATCCCACTGTAATATGAGAGATATAGAAAAATAAGTAGATGTTTTCTTTTTGTGAAGAACGTTCAATATAGAAGTAGATGAATGAAGCTTACCAGCTTTCGAATGGATTAGTAGGGGACATTCTGGGATTAGATGTTCTTTTGAAGCACAATACATGCACAAATTTAGTTGTCTCCTTCTTATCCTTTCTTCCGAAGTAAGAGGGCTTCTTATTATACCAACTTCCATAGGTTCATTGTGAGGAAGAGATTTTTCAGGAAATTTTGGAGTAGTAAAATGTTTTCTCCAGTTAGACGTAGTAAGAACTTTTTCAGCCCTTCTTTCTCTTAGACGTCTGTCAATACTAATGGAAAGTTGAATCAAGGCATTTAAGGTGGGAGGAAGTTCAATACGAGAGAGTTCATCTTTCACAGCTTCTGATAATCCGAGACGGTATTGATTGCGTAGTGTGATGTCATTCCATTGGGTTTCGGGAGCCCATCTTTTAAATTCGGCGATGTAATCTTCAACAGGTCTGTTCTTTTGGTGGAGAGTTCTGATGGTTAAATCAGCAGTAGCCTGTTTATATGGATCTTCATATAATAAAGACATAGCTTCAAAAAATT